CGAGTTTGAGTGGGGTTTGTTAATGGGCAATATGGGTATTGTATGGAGAGTGGCAGAGCTAAATAAGTCCATATTCCTGAAACTTCTGAATTACTGGGTGTATTCCTTCTAAGGAGTCTTTCCTCAAGGGATACTGCCTCTTATCAGGAGTCCCTGCCTCTGGTTTGAGGTCGGCTTTAACAAGGGAGGCTCACTTAGCCCTCTCTGGCTTTCCAGCAGCCCACACAATGGAGTTTACCTGATTTTCGATTTCTTCTGGCCAGGGTCGTTTTTCCTCCTCCATGGTTTCGTGAGGAGCTGCCAAGCATGCTCTGGAGGGAGCGGTAGAGCTGTTGTTCCCCTGGAGGAAAAATGATTTGAGCGCAGTTTTGACAACAGGTCCCTTCCTAGAAGAGCAGTTGGATGCTCGGGAATATATAAAAATTTGAGTTAAAATTGTGTCTCCCACAACACATCCTCATGGTTTCAAGAAAAATTGGCTTTCAAGGCTTCCAAAAATTCCAGTTACAGATACAGCCAGCCGTGGGGACTCAGAGGTCTGTTGACCATGGAATAGGTCGCTCTGGTATCAATCAAAAAGTCTACAGTTTGTCCCCCACTGTTAGTTTTACCTGAGATTCCTGGGGCGGGTGACTCTAATGGGTAGTAATGAGAGAATCTCCGGGCCCGTCACTCACCATCACAGCAGTCCCCCTTACCAGTGGAGCTCTCGAGTTCTTGGACTCTGACCTCCTTTTTCTTATTGGGGACACTCATTTTCCTAGCACCCATTTCCTTTGCAATACGCACATTGATCAGTGGCAAGCACTTTAGACCGGAGTCAGGCACCTCTTGCCTGCCTGTGGACAGAACTGCCCTGAGGCCTGTTCCAAGAAAACAATGGCCACTTAGGCCTTTTTCTGTTCTCTGTTATAAACTTTGAAGGTAATGCCTACTAACTGGGAAGGATTCATGTCGGTTTTTCCTTCCAACTTCTGAAATTTCTTTCTGTTGTCAGGTGCACTTTGAGAGATAAAGGTCATATTCACCATTCTGATATTTTCAGGGGCTTTGGATCCAGATCAGTGTATTTTCTACAGGCCTGGTAGATTCTTTCAAGAAACTCAGAGGGGTCCTCTGTGGGCTTTTGTCATACTGTCTGTACCAAAGTCAGACTTTTCTGCTTAGGGACTCCTTTCTTAAGTCCCTTGAGGATGCATCTCTTACAATGCTCTAAAATAAGAAGGCCATTCTCATTAGGGTCCCCTAGGCTTGGTTAAAGGTACTGCCTTAGTAGGGTCAGGAGCCCCATCCGGATCTTCTTGGTGCAGTCTCCGAACCTCTTCATTTGCCTTATCCAACACCAGCCTCTGCTCATCCTCTGTAAGCAAAATATTTAGTGAGGTTTAGTAAGGCTTGTCTGCCCGGTTGGGATGGTGGATGGCAAAAACTGATGAAACTGCCCTGGCTGGCATAGCTCAGTGGATTGAGTGTGGGCTGGGAACCAAAGTGTCCCAGGTTCGATTCCCAACCAGAGTACATGCCTGGGTTGCAGGCCATAACCCCCAGCAACCACACATTGATGTTTCTCTCTCTCTCTCTCCCTCCCTTCCCTCTCTAAAAATAAATAAATAAAATCTTTAAAAAAAAACTGATGAAACTAAGTTGGTTATTTTAGTAGGGTCATCCATATAAAAAAGCTTTGAGCTTTCCCAGTGTAACAGATCTGATGTAGGAAACAGAGAACCGTATTTTTCAGACTATAAGACGCACCTTTTTTTACCACATTTTTTGCTTCAAAAATTTTTCCCCTATTTTCCTCCTCTAAAACCTAGGTGCATCTGGGGTCCACACCATAAGATGCACCTAGGTTTTAGAGGAGGAAAATAGGAAAAAAATTTGAAGCAAAAAAATGTGGTAAAAAAGTGCATCTTATAGTCTGAAAAATACAGTATGTGCTCAATCATAGCCAACAGGCTGGCCCTCTGGCCCTACTCCCATGGGAAGTCTTCAAGTCTTCACAAAGGGTATTGCCCTACCGCTGTAGGGGCTTGTCCTCCACTGAATTTAGTCCCAGGACAGGTTTGGGACAGAGAGACCAGTCCAGGCTCACCTCCTCCAGCCCCCTCAGCTGAGTGAAGAGGAAGACACCCGAGGGCAGGAGGGGCTGTGGGAACCCTGACCATGCTCGCAGCAGCCATAACATCCTGATCCTCCTGTGAGCTTCTGCTCTCTGCCACAGGCAAATTCCCTTTCTCTGGACCAATAATCTGTTTCCTTTTAATCATACATCTTTATTGTATAAAGTTATAAAAGCATGTATAGAAGGCATTTCATCCCACTTCCCTGATCTTTGACAAAACAACTCTAATTGCAGTATAGTATAGTACTTTAAAGACCCATTCAGCGGCCAGCACTCTCCTGAGTCCAGATTATATGTAAACTAAGCAGTATTACAATAAAAAATCATTTTCTTTTTTGTCATAGGTTTATTAGCATTGGCCAACCAATCAGCCAAAACCTGCCCCAAAAGGCTTTTTCCTGGAATAGAGGCTCTTTCCCCCATTCTACCCGACAGAACTCTATCACACTAACCAAACCAGAAGGCACCTTAATTCCTGACAACTGATCTAACCCTGAACCAGAAAGAAAGCACAGTGATTCAATCAAGAAGTGAAAGCAGCGGGGAGTGCCAAGCGTCGGGAGGAGGAGAGTCCCCAAGTGAAATCACTTGGTAGCTGCTGGGGAGTCTCCAGATCCGCACCCAGGGCTGCCCAGTCCAGGCAACAGTGGGACTCCCCACCAAATACCCAGACTTACTAGACAGTCCCAGATTCTGTCCCGGCAGAGTCACCAGAATATGAGGCCAGAAAAGTGGGTGTTTGTGCTGCCTGTCACTACCAGAACCAATAAGTAGAAACACGGTTGAATCTTTATGGGCTGTTTGTTCAGGTGTCCCGTGATCTGAAAAGATGATGGATTATGTACCCCTAAAAGACTGTCTTACATTTCATCTCAAGTCAATTTTTTTTAAGTAGAAGAAAAGTATAGGTAAGGGCTTTGGAATTCAGGAGGAAAGTAGGTAAGGGGTTTGGAATTCAGGGAAAAGGTTAATCAGATAGGAGCAGCAGTCCAGCAATCTTCCCAACATCCTTTCGTCTGTTGACCACTGATTCTTTATCTGTGTCCTGGGCAGTGGCCACCTCTCCCTGGATACCACCTTGATGGCTTGCAGTCCTCCTGGGGCACAAAGGTCTCAAACTGTATGTGGTCTCCTGGAGTCAGGATGGGTCTGGTTATACATCCCAGTTCCTGGAACAGTAGCTTTTTATGTGCATAATCACTAAGCTTATTAAGTATAACTTAAAACTAAAAATTTTCCAACTCTTGAGTTCCCCCATCAGAAAGACATGTCCATTGTCTCCGAGTTTGTAAGCGTTTTTATACATCAAGTACTGGGAAAGAGGAAGAAAAATGTACACCATCTGAAGGAATTTGCATTAGCTGTAGGCAAGGGGGTGGGAGAAAGTGTAGCAGGGCCAGCTCTGGGATACATGTACCTGTGCATCAGTGGTAGGTTTCAGCCTGGAAGGCCTCCATGTAAGCAAGAGGTGAGGCTCCTGAAGTTATTGACGCCTGACTGAAATTATCTGTGGAAATAGCCACCTGGAATTTAATCCGAAATTCCCACAGATACACAGAAATAGCGTCTTTTGTCAGAGCTGGTCCACAGCTATTAACAGGCTAACTGTTCTGTGTCTTTCACTCTCCGGGTGCAGTAATTTTAATTTAGAACATCTTAGAATTTCCTCCTTGACAGTCAAGTTTATTTCTTTGGTACTGGAAAGTAGAAAATGGAAGAGGGTACTGTGCTTCTTAATTCTCATTAGTAAAGCCCTCCATGTTAATGGTATAATTGCTTAAGGGAATTTGCCAGAACCACCTCAACAAAGAAAGCGGATTCTTTTCGTTTTGTTTTAACCTATATCTTTTAAATAAGGAAACAAGGCTCAGAAAGCTAAGTAACACCCCCCCAAATCACATAGTTAATAACAATAATAGGAATTAATAACAATAGGAATAGCTGGTAGAGACTATGTAGGAAGTTTCCAACTCCTCCAAGTCCAATGTCAAGGGCAAATACTGGCCACGGGACCCAAGATCACTATATTGGAAAATTCCACAGGAAGAGACTCATCCATCTGCCACAGCTATTATAATCTTCAGATCTTTCTTTTAAAATGCTAAGAAAAGTGATTCTTGACTTAAGAGGAGAGGAAAATACCACTGGACTCCCCGTGTGAATAACCTGTGAAGTATATTTAAAAGAAATCCTCATTAAAAGTCATCGCGAATGGTCCTGGGTGGTGTGGCTTAGTTGGTTGGGCATTGTCCTGGAATCCGAAAGCTTGCTGGTTACATTCCTGGTCAGGGCACATGCCTGGGTTGTGGGATTGGTCCCCAGTCAGGGCACATGCAAGAAGCAACTGATTGATGTCTCTCTATCACATTGATGTGTCTCTCCCTCTCTCTTTTCCCTTCCCTCTCTCTAGAATCAATAAAGGGAAAAAAACACATTGCAAATGATTTTATCTTCAAGTAATTAAAATAATAAACAACTTTGTAATTGTTTTTATGTACAGTTGACTATGCAAATTTCCTTTTTAATATACATAAAACCTTTATACCTGTTGGGCAACATTTTTAAGATTGTTTTCCATATATTAACTTATGCTTCCAATGTAATTTATATAGGAAGCTACTTTGCTTGATTGAAATTCTATAAAAAGTTTTTTAATTCTTATATTTTCAATAGATTTATGTCCATGATGAGAATTTCTATGTCAAAGCTTTATTATAATTTGAAAAACAGTTGCTGGTTGTATAGCTGTTCTCTACATAGAAAAGTTAAAATCCTTCCCTGTTATGAGCTATACCTCACCAGAGTTTCTGGGATTACTTATTATTAAATATTTCTAATTGTATTTTCTGACCTCTCATGCTGTTCTTTTTCCCACCAGACAAACGGATGGTAAACTGGAGAGGCCCTCAGTAACTTACGCCACGTATCAAGGCCCCAGACAAATTAGAAAATATCTGAAGCAACAGACCGTGTTAGACACTGTGAATCCCTTGGACAGAGAAAATGAAAGTTCTGACTCGAGCACAAAGGCACAAATCGGCCCTGGGAGTGAGAGTGAGGCTGGGACGTTGTCCTCTCTGTCATCGGCTAGCGCGGACGTACCTGTGCAAGGGCAAGTGCTGGGAGACCCATTAGAAGACTCCGATTGCAGCAGAACAAGTTTCGGCACAGAAAGCCAGCCAACTAACCACCCCGTCGTGCTGAGTATTGCTTCTTCTAAGGATGTTTTCAATAAAAATGGTCCCAGGGGACCTGAGGGAAATAGATCATCCCCCTCTTCTATGACTAACTCCGACTTTGCTGTTGGGGAATCTGACTCAGAACACCATTTAAGTTGTATACCAGTTTCTCGGACTGACAGAAACTTGGTATGCTCAGCCTTGTTTACAGGATGTTCCATTAGCACAGTTCCTCGCAGTCCAGACTTTCAGGGGCTAACTTCTACAGGGACTACAACAAAAGAAAACAGTGCAGTGCAAAGAGAAGAGCATGTTGAGCCTGAGAGCCCCACTGTTTCTGACTTCCCTTGTAGTAAATCTGATGGAAGCGACACTACCAAACAGGAGAGTGCAGATAAATCAACTAGGCAGGAGGACTTGCAGTCTCCAGAGAGCAAGTGTTCTGACAGGCAAGCTGCAGGAAGCTCATCGAAGCGGGGTGCCAGTCACACCAGTGCTCCTCAGAGACATGCCGTGACAGACACAGAACTCGTTCGTGAAGGCAGTAGGTTGTCTGCCCCAGATGCCCAGAAAAATTTGGCTGTTACAGAAATCAGGCAGGAGACAGAAAGTATCTCAGTCAGTGAACCCACAACTTCAAGTCATGCAAAAGCTCCAGAAGATAAAAATGAGTCATTATCCAAAGATACCAACCAGGTGTCTGTAACAGAAACCAAAAGGCTTGATTTGGGGCCAGCTAGCAAAATGCTTCACATTCTTAGACTAAATCAAAAGGACCCTGCTGCTGTAAAACATGTCAGTGAATTGGCAGTTGAAGCATGCTTAGAAAACAAAATACCCCCTGAACTAACTTTTAAACTTTATAGAAGTCACATGAAGGACTCCTCTGACTCTGAGAGTCCTCAACAAGCCAAAGTATCACCTGATACCAGAACCTGTTTTGCCCTTGACTGTGGAAAATCAAATTTCAATACTTCATCTCCTACCTTCGTTTCTGGAGTTGGCATGCTGAGCAGGTTGGATGTGCCTGTTGTAAAGAATGAGGGGTCTTCCGTGCTCACTGAAACTGGGGATGTCAATGTTGTTGGCATTTCCAATGAGCCTAAAGAGTGTCAAGAAGAAAATGTGGGGAGTCATGTTGAGGCTGCAGATGGGAAGAGTCCTCCAGCATGCCTTCACCATGAGCGTGCATCTGTGATTCTTGAATCTGAGGATGCTCTTCCTGACGGTAAAAAATGCCAGGTTCCACTGGACCTTGAGGCCAGTGACACCCACTTGACTAGAGTGGACTCCACATTGGAGTGTGAAAGCATCTCTGAGGACCACAGTTCCACTTCATCTCAAGGCCCTAATAAAGCAGAGTTCATGCTTTCCAACAGTAAAGCAAGGAAGAGCACTCTGGAGAAGTCTGGTTCCCTTTCCTTGGAAACCAAAACTAGTGACATTGCTAAAGTTTTCTCAGAAGCTAAAGTTGATGGTCAGGACAGTGTTCCTACTGAGTCACATTCTGGAAGAGGAAAAACTGTAACCCTTTCCAAGATATCTGTTTCCCAAATGGAGTCCAAAGACATTTCTCAGGGTAACATTTCTTCTCCATTTGAAATTACAGATGTGCCAACAAAGCCTGTTTTATCAGAATTAACCTCCCTCGAGGCTGAGCAGGACCAAAGTTATCAATTGGTAGATCACAAAGAGATTAAAGAGATATGTTCAGATGTGGGGCCCAAAGAAAGTTGCCATGCCAAGATGTCTCCTTCTGCCTCCCTAAATCAAGATAAAAAGGAAACAGAGGTAGATGCATCAGGTTATCCATCTCCTTTTCTCAAAAGTAATACATCTGGGATCTTACCTCCTATTCATGATGAAAAAGCCAACGCTTATGTGATTTGTCAACCTTCAGATGTTTATGGGACTGAAAAGAGTTCAGGTTTCGCAGAAATGGCAAAACTGAGCTTCACTGATACTTGCCAAAAATTCCAAGAAAGTGACAGCATGAAAGTACATTCACCTATTCTGGGCTCTCCTATCACTTTGGGAAAAACCACTTTTGCATCTGAAGATTCAGGCTCTCTCAGTATTCCCTTTGTGCCAAGATCCAACACAAAAGCATCATCTCACAGAAGGAAAGAGAGCTCTCTTGCCCTAAGTGCTGGCACTGAGAGCACGTCTTCCTCAAACGCTGAAGGAGTCCACGTGATTACCAGTGCACATCATCCCCAAAGTAACTTTGGTTCTGTGGAAGTTACTCTAGATGGCACACATGAAGGTGCCTCCCTGACTAACCTGCTGCACCCTGAAAACTCTTATTTGGAATCTGAAACTTCTATACCAGCAGGGGCAGAAGTGACCCCATCTCAGGGATATTTTGATAATTATACTAGGGAGGTATCTCTCGATTTCCCAACAGCTGCCCAGTTTGACCTGCTGGTGGAAGGAGAGACTGGAGCAGTTGCTGGGGCCCCAGCGTCAGTTAACAGCTCAGGCCAGCAGTGTTCTGAAGCATCTGCTGAGCATGTAGAAGCAAGGAAGAGAGCACAGGACCAGTGTTTGGACGTCAGAAGTGTTTTGCCTAACAAGGCTGATACGTGGCCTGGTGAGGTTTTTAATTCAGTTAGGGAAGACCTCGAATCCAAACACACAGTTGATACGTGCCAGGACCACATAGCCGGGGACGCCATAATGAATCCTGGTTCCCGGGAAGGAGATGGCACATCTGAAGAAAAGCCATCAGATGTGACCCCTTCTGGGATCCAACTGACAGAGCATTTGGAAGAGCAGGACTTGGAAAACTTGGCAGGAGCCCGAGGGGAAGAAAAGGCCTGCGTTTTACTTACACCTGGTGAGAAGAGTCTCCTTTTTGATTCTGATAGAATGAATGTGTGTTGTTTGTTAGAAGATCAAGCTAGGGAATTAGTCAATAAGATTATTAATTCAGCCCAAGAAAGTATAACAAATGATGCTTTTGAAGATACTGAGGATACTTGGGATTCTGAACTTCAGACTAATACTTCAAAAATTCTGAACAGTGATAGTGTTAAGCCTCATGTAAGGGAGTTCTTGGTGTCAGAACAAGTAGTAAATCAAAGCACATGTGAAATTAGTGAAAATAAAGTATTAGGTAGATTTTTCACTCTAAGTAACTTAGGTAGTGACACAGAGTCTGATGCTCTAAACTTGCAGGAATCAGACACTGTTTTGCTAGGTGAAGACTTGCCCCATGAAGCGTTAGGTGATAGAGTAGAAACACACTTATTTCTCAAAGAGGACTCTAAAGAGAAAGTGGAAGCAGAGTATGTGGATAATCACAAAATGGGGAGACGGGATGTGAGAAATCTGGCATTAAATTTCACGTGGCCTCCGTTTGCAGATGATGACATCCATGGACCTGGGACCTCCAAAAGCAGTTTGTCTGACAGCCTCGTGTGTGTACCTGAAAAAGGCTTGCCCGGACACGGTAATAAGAGCACACCCCTTACAGTGTCTGAAGTAGGAAAAGTCCACAAAAAGGATACTGAAGTAAATCTAGGAAAAATTGAGCTTATCCCTTCCATGTTAGAGATGGTAAAAACACACAAAAAGGATGCTGAATTGAAAATTATGAAAAATGAGGCAGCCCCTTTTATGTCAGAAATGGGAGGAGCACACAAAAGGGATGATGAACTGAATATCACAAAAACTGAGCCAACAGATGACAGTTTTAAAATGCGAGAAGTATACCCAGTGGATGCTGAGAAGCATGAAAAAACCGAGGGATTACCTGCCATGGTAGGGATGGAGAAAGCTCACAAGATAGGGGACACGGAGAGGGATATTGGCAAAACTGACGCGATGCCTGTCATGTCAGAAATGAAGAGCATCTATCAGAGAGATGCCGAGAGAATTACTGGAAAGACTGATGTGATACCTGCTACATTAGGGGTGGAAAACATCTACCAAAAGCATGCTGAAGGTGATGTAGGCAAGACCGGGGTGACATCAGCTCTGTCAGAAGGGGAAAACACTTACCAAAAAGAAGTCCAGGGGATTGCTGAAAAGGCTGAAGCATTGCCTCCTGCATTAGAAACAGAAGATATTTCCCAGGATGCTGAAGGAGATGTGGACAGCACTGAGGTGACGCCCACAGTGTCACAAGTGGTAAATGTCCCCCATGAAGATGCCAAGGGGATCACTGGGAAGACTGAAGGGCCTGCGTTGGGAATGGAAAGCACTTTCCAACAGGGTGCTGAAGGAGCCACTAGGAAAACTGAAATCGTACCTTTGGGGTTGGAAGTGATAAAACTACACAAGAAGGCAGCCCCCGCCTCTTTAGAAATAGAAAAAGCATGTGAAAGGGATGCTGAAGGGACGACCAGAACCCCTGTGTCCATGCCCTCCATGATAGAAATGGAAAGAACATCCCCAGAAGAGCCTGATGGGGCTACCTGTAAACACCCCGTGTTATCTGCAGAGGTAAACGTGGGGATAACATATGGAGCAGGTCTGGAATTGCCCGTTACACAAGCAGAGGCCATGCTTGCCATATCTGAACTTGAAAAAGCACCCCAGGAGTACACTGAAGAAAGTATTGGAGAAATGGAGGAAGAGCCCACTGAAGTAAAGGAAGGCTTAATAGCACATGACAATAGACTTGCTTCGTATTTCAGAGGATACGAATCACCTACATTAAGTAAGGATTATGAAGGCTACCCAGCCTTAGCAATGCTAGATTTTCAACCCGTGGATACCATAGGAAGGCTAGACAAAAGAACATCTGTTACTGCAGTAGATGACAAAACAAGAGATGTAGGTGATTACAGCGATGAAAAGGAAGACTCTAACCTAGCCTTCATTTCTCAGGATGAACAAGAAAATTCCTCCTTTACTATATTATATGAAGAACCCCTTCAAGATGAGGACAGGTGTGCTACTGCCAAAGTAAGAAGAGCACACTCACTCTTGCCTTCTGACACACCCCCTGATGGCATGCCTGTCCTTGCATGTGAAAGGTCTGAGAGTAGAACTGACCTGGTCCGCCATTTTGAAAAGGGCACTAAAGTAGACAGTGATAGTTCGGAAATGTTCTTATCAGTGGAGGCGAAAAGGTACAGAGTTTACCCCTTAGCTCTGTCTCCCATTTATGAGGACGACAGCTCTCAGGAGGACATTCTGTCCAGCGAGGTCTCGCCTGGGCATCATGGCTCCACAAAATCGAGAGATGGTGCACACCAGCCCTGTTCTGTTTTGTCACTTCTCCAGTCAGTATCAGAGCGTTTAAAGATGAATTTTGATGAAGACGACAGGCAGGAGTTAGGGGAAGAGGAAGAAGAATTGTTGCCTAAGGGAAGTCTGACAGCTACAAGGAGGGAAACTGTCAAGCTGCCAGATCCTTCCACCATGTTCTACTCTGATGATGACCAGGAAAGGACTGGAATTTCTAAGGGTTCATTTGTAAAGACAAACGAACCAACTACCTCCAATCTGCAGATAGGTCTGTGGCCAGAAAAGACCCCATTCCTACAAAAATCTGACCTTACTTCTAAATTACATTCTTCTGTAAAGAGTGTTTATCATCAATATCTGCAGACTTCCAAAACGCATTCCTCAGAAAAAGGAGCCAGATTTGGTGGGACTTTGCAGGAACCAGTGTCAAAATATTTCCGTGCTCAAGACATCTCAGGCAGATTGAGCCCGTTCACAGAGGTAAGTTATTTTGATTATTAACTGGTGAAGTGGTGCTTTGCATCATAAATGATTTAGAGGCTTAAGAAAATCAATGTTTTGGTGTGTAAAGATTGTTTTTAAAAATATCAGATGTTTTTTCTGATTCTTTGGTTGAAGTGTATCGTAAGTTACATATTTTAGCGAAACTGTTACATTGAGAAAAAATTGCCCAAAATTTAAAGGTAGAGAAGGAAGTTATTTTCCAGTTTTTTACTATATTTTCAAACTAAATTAAGTGAAAAGATGCTGAATTTCTCAAGGGATCATATGTGAGAAAATTGACATTTGTCTCATGAAAATATTTTATAATGGTTAAAAATATTTTGAATACTTAAATATGTTCCTTTTTATTATTTTTTAATCCTCACCCAAGCATGTGTTTATTGATTTTAGAGAAAGAGAAACATTAATGTGACAGGAAAACATTGATCTTTCGCTTCCTGCACACATCCCAACTGGGGACCAAACCCACAACCTAGGTAGATGCCCTGACCAAGGGTTGAGCCCATGAGCTTTTGATCCCGGGACAATGCTCCAGCTGCTGAGCTGCCCGGCCAGGGCCAGAAAAAGATGTGAAATGTTTAGTGGACAGCCTCTTCTCACTTTAGTTGCTCATGTTGTTCTTTAAAAGCAGAACAATGAACAGCCTAATTTAAAAAAAAAGAGCTATAACATCATATTTGGAAAATGTTTGGACATTCAATTGCATTTTTCTTTGTCTTAGAAGTGTTCAAATGTCTAAAAATATTCATTGAGGGTAGGACTTTCCTTTCCAGAGTTCCCAAGATTATGGAGCTTTCTTTAAAAATCCCAAGGCCTGCATCGTTACTTGGAATGACCTTAGGAACAAATAGTAATACTTAATACCAATCAACAGCTTGCAGAGCAAAGTCATTTGAAAAGAAGTAATGGGACTTAAAGAAATGTTTCTTTAATGACTCTGCTACCTACCAAACCAGGTGGAACCTCCTCACTGCATTACAAGGCTCCCAGATGTGGTCTCTCCAGCCTCACCTCCCTGTGCTCTGGTTACGCACTGTGTTTCCTACCACCAGACTTTTTTTCAAGATGGTTCTCTTCCTGGACTTCTTTTCTCTATTCTCCCACCCCATCTGACCACATTTTTTCACTTAGTGAAATTTGGCTTCCCAAGGTCTTCACTTGTCAACAAGCACCTTCTAAATCTTTGCCATCACCTCACCTCCATTACCCTGGTGCCACTTCCCTTAATTTTCATAGCCTGGCGTTTTCTTTGTGTTTTACCTGTGAGTTTAACTTAGCCCCTGCCCCTGAACAGAGTCAGGAGAGTGCAATCAACTGTTTCTCCCCTCCGAGCTATAAGCTTCTTGAGGGCAGAGACAACACATTATTGTCCTTTATATTTACCTTTATTTCCTTGTGGTGCCTAGAGGTACACCTTGCATATAATGTCACTAAATAAACCTGATAAATTGGATTTGTTTGTTAAATGGCTGAGAAAGTGAACTGTGTATCTTTCCATTGATGTTTCTTAAGGCTTTCTTCTTTCATTTTTATTATTTCAGAATGTTGACAGACAAACTCTGAGGTGTAACCCAAGACCTGGGAAGGTAAGCATAAGTGTGTTTTATATGGAATAATATGTAATATGAAAAGTGCAGGTTTCTTTTAGGTTTGGAGAGCTTAAGTAAATACTGGGAACTGACTTAGAAAAGGATTATTTTACTCAAAGATTTAACATCTAAAGTAGTGATTACTTTTATATATTCAGGATATTTTATTTTCTACATTGTAGGACTTTTTACAATTTTAAATGCATTTTTTAAGAATAGTTATTGTGCCTGTTTTCTGTGTGTTCCAGATGGTTATCTATGATCTCCATGGAAGTAAATATAAACAAGAGGTCTATTGTAACATTCTCGATGCCACGTCATGGTCCTTTCCGAATGGGGTACTGATAAAAGTTGTAAGGGGCTGGTAAGAGATTTCTTAAAATTATATAGTATTTTCCCCCACAATTAAATGTTGTGTTGCCATTTATGCTTTTGTATTTTTTATTAAAGTCACATTCCCTTTCCTCTCATTTTTGACAATGTTTTGAAACATCATTAGTATTTTGTAACTTAATTGTGCTATTTCCTGTGGCAGAAAATATAAGCTATTTTTAGTGCATATAGCGAGCAGTAAGTGGCAAGATCTAATTTATACAATGTAACAACCAATACCATTGCGTAACTGCATTATTAACAGGATAGATTGGGCAAGTCATTCCCATTCAGTTGAATGAAGCATGGTTTCAAAAACAAGTTCAAAATTTGTGGGATGCTAAGGAATGAGAAAGCCACATACTTAAAGTCATTTGTGCAGCTGCCATGCTCAAAAAGTGAAGGGTTCTTTGTATGGTGTAAAAATGAGGGAAAACCTCATTTGTTGTTATGAACTATGTCCCATGGATATGTCGGAGACAGGATTTCTTTCTTTTTTTTTTTTAAACGTAATCTAGATTTACTGTTGGTTTTAACATGACACCATTTTTTTAAAGATTTTACTTATTTTAGAGAGAGGGGAAGGGAAGGAGGGAAACATCAATGTGTAGTTACCTCTCTCGCGCCCCCTACTGGGGAGCAGCCAGGATTTCTTTGTCCAGTATTTCAGCTACCCACTGGTCAGTATTCATGTTGTAAGCATTCTGGTGCAGTACTGTCTTCATGTAATAAAAATGGGACTCGTGTGCTTTGTTAATCAGGGACCAGCAAATTAGGGTAGAAGTGGAATTTGGAATGGTTAAGCTATTGTCTTTAATATATATTTATAGCTTCATATATATAATACCTATAAATATGTGTATACATAAATATCACCATAGATTGTAATATTATATTCAGGAAGTATTATTTCAAAGTTCATTCTTTCTTATACTGTTTGTATCTATACTGCCATAGATCATCGTTTCAAAAATAGGATTATATGCTAACAGTGGAAAATAACCCAGATTTAAAAATGCAACTGGATAAGATAGTCTGTGACTTACTAAGTATCACTTGTTTTATGCCTCATTTCCTAGGACATTAGTGATAACTGATCATGCTTTTGTATTTGTTCAGCTGGATTTTATATGAGAAGCCACATTTCCAAGGTCAGAAATGTGTGTTAGAAGAAGGGGAAAAGGTGTTAAATCGTGACTGGACCCTTCAGAACAGAAAGCATCCACAGAGAAGTTTTGTACTGGGTTCTATCAAACGCATCTTAAAGGTAAGAGAGGTGTTGATTTTCTTCCATTTTTTTATTTTGTTTCGTTTGTCACATAGTTGTACTTTGGCCTACCAGGTTTAGAAATAGTTGCCATAATTTGTGCTAATTTTATTTATTTTTATTATCATATTAATGATGTTTTTACATTATACATGTAAAGTACTAAATGTTCATTTACAATATTAGTGGTAATTATATATGTATATATGTTTTTAATGTAGGAATATACCATCTTTAGGAAAATAGTCAATGTTTCCAAATTTTCAAATATATACTTTTTCTAATATAGAAAAAGTAGTTCTGTGTACATGTGTATGTGAATGAGAGAGAAGTAAGAGAGAAGTGTTAGGAGAACACTTTCTGTTTAGAAAATATTATTTTATACTAAGATGAAAAAAGTCAGTATAAACAAAAATTTGTTGGAAGTGCTGTGGTAATTTAGAGTAGAGTGAATTAGTGGTAAGGACAGATGTAAGATAAGGAAAGAATTCTCCCGTATAGTCTTTTTTTTCTTTTTCTTTTTAAAAAAATTTGTTGTTGTATTTTTTTCATTACCATTTAACCCACTGGTACTCCCTCCCCTGTGCAATCCTCACACTGTTGTCCATGTCCAGGAGTCCTTTTTCCTTTTTGTTCAGTCCCTTTACCCTTCACCTCCCACCCCCAATAGCTTTCATCCTGCTCTCTATCTATGAGTCTGTCTCTGCTTTGCTTGTTAGATCAGTTTGTTCATTGGATTCCACAAGTGAGTGAAATCATGTGGTATTTGTCTTTCTTTGACTGGCTTATTTTACTTAGCATAATGTTCTCTAGGTCCATCCATGCTGCTGTAAAGGGTAAGGTTTTCCTCTCTTTTACAGCCAAGTAGAATTCCACTGTGTAAATGGCCCATAGTTGTTTATCCACTCATCTATTAATGGACACTTGGGCTACTTCCATATCTTGACAATTATAAGTAACGCTAAGATAAAGATAGGGGTGCTTATGATCTTTCAAATTAGTGTTTTGGGTTCCTTTGGGTATATTCCCATAAGTGAGATTGCTGGGCTGAAAGGCAAGACCCATTTTTAATTTTTTGAGGTATCTCCATACTGTTTTCCACAGTGGCTGCACCAGTTTGCATTCCCACCAACAGTGCAAATGGGTTCCCATTTCTCCACATCCTCACCAGCACTTGCTGTTTGTTGATTTATTAATGATGACCATTCTGACAGACATGAGATGATATCTCATTGTGGTTTTAATATGCATTTCTCTGATGACTAGTGATGTTGAACATCTTTTCATAAGTCTGTTAACCATCTGTATGTGCTCTTTGGAGAAGTGTCTATTCAGGTCCTTTGCCCATTTTTTAATTGGATTGTTTGTGAGGTTTTGGTGTTGTTTTATAAGTTCTTTATAAATTTTGTATATTAACCTGTTACCAGAGGTGTCAACGAATATGTTCTCCCATTCCGTGGATTGTCTTTATTTTGTTGATGATTTCCTTTGCTGTGCAAAAACTTTTTAGTTTGACACGGTATCATTTGTTTATTTTTCATTTTGTTTCCCTTGCCTGAGGAGATTTGTGAGACAATATATTGCCACAAGCAGTGTCTGAGATTTTACTGTCTATGTTTTCTCCTATAATTTTTATGGTTTTGGTTCTAATATATAAGTTTTTAATCCATTTTGAATTTGTTCTTGTGCATGGTGTAAGAAGGTGCTTTAGTTTCATTTTTTCTTGCATTTATCTATCCAATTTTTCCAACACCATTTATTGAATAAATTATCTTTAGGCCATTGTACATTGTATGTGTTTGCTTCCTCTGTTAAATATTAATTGGCTCTAAAGGTGTGGGCTTATTTCTGGGCTCTCTAGTCTGTTTCACTGATCTATGTGTCTGTTTTTATGCCTCCCATGTAGTCTTAAGAGTCCCTTCATCAGTAACATAGCACATGATTTAGTTTAATTACTCCTATGGCAGTCAAGAACACATTTTTTTCAAATTATAGAGATTTCTTTTATGTGCTTTAAACAAAAATGCATTATGATTTGAATTGATGTTATTAAACCCTTGAGAGTTGTGGAGATCATACAGAAAAACTCATTATCATAAAGGGGTGTCTGCATGTGTTTTATATGAATTAATACTTTGCAAAACTGTAGCAAACCTATGTCTACAAAGACCCATGTCTGCTTTTGGACCCAGTTCTGTGATGGTCACTGAGAATAGAAATATAAGTAGGACATGATTCTTGTTTCAGCTTGCTTAAAGCCTAGGGACAGACAGCTGAGTAACCCAACCGTAGATGTGAAAAGTGCCCTAAGGGTACACCAAGGGGAGGGACCTTTCCTGGAGGAGCTGGCACCGGCTGGACTCCTGAGAGAGTAAGCAGGAGTTAGGTTGCAGAGGAAGATTGAGAGCTACAGTGTAAAGGGCAGTGTTCCTTTACAGTGCTCACTGAATCGGCTAACTCACTAGAAATGCCGTGAAATGAATAATTATTTTGTAGGTGGACTCTTCTAAGATTTAAGTAACTTACTGTTTTGTGCCTTCCTTGTGAATGCCAGGCACCATGCCAGGCCTGGTGGCGGGGCGGGAAGAAAAAAATGAATAAGATATTGTAAATAGCAACCTCCTCCCCCTCTTCCCTAATTAAACAACAATAAAATCAAACAAAAACTCAATCTGCTGAGAATGGGTATATAAATGGGTATTTGCACATCTGCCATTTGCTTAGAATATATTATAAGAAAGAATAAGTCATGGTTGCATTTTTTTCCTCCTTCCATTGTTCTTGGAGTCTTGTTTAAATTGCCTTGTTCTTGCCCACATATCTTGAACAGGCTAGCAACTTTTAGGAAGGAAAATAAAACTATTGAGCTTTGAATGGAAAAGGCATTAGCATTGTTCTAAATACTTAACAAAGTGAGAATCGAGTATCAAACTGCTTCCTTTCTCCAACCGTGTCAAAATGCTGGTTATGGAAAGCTCTGCTCTCATGGTGGCCATTCCAAATCCATCTGGGCCTTGTTTCCTCATCTTTTAGTTGCTCTAATCTGACTTGTCAAAACTTCAGTGTTCTTTAAAGGTACCATGTGAATGGGTGCAGCAGATTCAGCACAGGCCATCAGTTATCAGCAGCTGCAGATTCTGCTCTGGGGTCATCTTTGCCGCCAGGGGGAAGGATTGGGGTGGGGCGGCAGTGCAGTGAACCTGGAGCCAAGTGCTTGCTTTTCTCAAACAGAAGAAATGAACTTTGCAAGTTACTGGGTTTACTATGCATTTAATTTTTGTTAAAGGAATGACATATTTGTTATGGTCAGAAGTTATTTAGGTTGTCCCCTCAGTAATGAGCCTAGAAGGGAGAGATCCGTTGTTAGATCAGTGACCGAAGGTATTTTATGTAAGGTAGAGGCAAGTAGATTTTCTTACTGCTTTTGTCGACTATAATTCATTCCCACCCTTGTTCTCCTCTGTAGCTTTGTCTCCCTTCCAGCTAATTGCTTTAATAGTCTAAGCTGGAAGATTTCACCAAAATATACTTGTAAAGTATATCATGGCTAGAAAAGTCTGGGAGGAAGCCGTCTAACTTTTCTAACAGTAAACTGTTTGTTGTTGCTGAGCTACTATAAAGCACTTTTCAGTCACTAACCAGTGAAATCTTTTTCAGTCTACTGGAGAAGAAAAAATTGGTCCTCTGATAAAGATAGATGAGAGCATAAGCATTCTTATTTTTGTTTATTTTCCATTTTTTAGCCATTGTCATGCTTGGTCCATTATGCCGTTTCCTTCTGTGTTGTAGTAGACTTGAGTTCCTCTTAGCTTTTTCCCTTTCAAAGTACACCGCCCCAACATTGTTTGTATAACACAATGCAGAGGAAACTTATTTGCGTGGGACGCTGGGTTCTGTGCTCTGTTGCTGCCCCGCAGGTCCCTGGGGGAACATGAATGTGGCAGCGGTTCTGTTACTAGAACTCTATTATTAACAGCAAACAAAAGAGCCTTGAAGATTGACAGGTGATTGCCCTGAACATTTCTGCCTATTTTGAAATGAAACTTTAGAGAGAAATATATTTTTATACTTTAAAGATTATTTTAGCCAATGGCTTTTTGCTGTATTGCATTTTACAACTAACTTTCTGAAAATAAGATGTATCAATTGGCTTGCTTTTACATATTGAGGAGAATTATTAATAATGAATAGTAAGAGAACTCAGTTTGGAGAAAGGTTAAAAATTAGAAAATTGCCATTTTAAACATTGCAAAACTGATTATAATAAAAAATACAATTTTTAGTCCATCTAATGTCACCTCTAATTGTTATTGAATTTACCTATTTTATTAAAGCATAATCATTTGAATTTCACAATGTCCTAGATGAGAACTTCTCTACTGAAACTTAATTTGTGTAATTAAATGCCCACCACTACCAGGACAGATTGTGGTTCAGATGGAAGCACATCTGTAATTCCAGGAAGGGAGAAATAATTGTGCTTTTGATTCCCTAAGAAAAAATTGTGCTTTTGAGTTAGAACTTGATTATTAAAAGATTTTCATAAGTAAGAATACAGAGAATTATGTCTTTAATTTCAGTGAGGGATACATTTACAGAGCTTAGAGAGGCCGGAGAGGGAGTGAAAACACCTCTGGAGCATGGAGACCAGCATGACTGAAGAAGAGGTGTGGGGAGTTAGGGTAGAGGAATGGGTTGGTGCCATACTGGAAAAAGGGAAACAGATACAGATTCAATGTGTTTGGGTCTTGAGCCAAGGCATGGCGCAAGGAAAGTGGTACTCCAACAAGCCCAGCTGTCTGAAGGGTAGCTAGCACTTGACTGGTAGCATAGGCCCATGATTGAAGTCTTGGCCTTGACAAAGGGCCTTGACCACGGGAGAAGATAAGAGATATACACCAGTGAAATTTTAAGGAAAGTTTGACAGGACATGGTGACAGTGGATATATGATGGAATGTAGGGTTAAATTTCATAATGCCATTCTTCTCCAAACCAACTGTACTAAAAACAATAAATAGAATACCACAAGTAGGAAAACAGATTTCCTTTACCCTCACCTCTAATTCCTACCCCTTATGTCAATGTAAATTAGATAACACCCCGAGGGTATAGTACCTCTCTGTTGTTTGTCTCATTAATGTTCCACATGAGACCAGCTTTTATTGAGCTCCCTTCCTCCCTGTGGCTTTGTTGTGCTTCTAAGAAGGAGGGCAACAGACTTTCGGCGCTCAGATAGTTTGGTGACTCTAAGCATTGCTTAATGGAACAAGACTTTTAAAAACAAAGCAGAAAATATTGGAGTAATACTTTTTCCATCAGTAATATTTATAATTTTCATGTTATCAGTGTAACTCCTTAGAAAAAATTTGTTGGTGGCCAGATGGAGAGGTTTGGGGGCCTGGGTGAAAAAGTGAAGGGATTGAGAAGTATGAACTGACGGTTTTACAAAATAGTCACGGGGATGTACATACGGCACAGGGAGTATAGTCAGTGGTACTGTAATAGCCACAGATGGTGGTGCCCAGTGGGTACTGGGCTTGTCAGGAGGTCACTTCGTGAATTGTGTAAATGTCCAGCCACTATACTGTACACTGAAGCTGATAAAATACTGAATGTCAACTGTAACTGAAAACTGTAAAAAAAATTTTTTTGAAAAGTTGCATTTTAAACAACTGATACAGAGAAACAGTATTTCCTTTATGCTGCTCTTGTGAAGAAATTTAACTGGACAATGAGAACAATTGTAACTGCATGTCCAGGGTGTTGAGAATACTGGACTGTGTGTTTCTTTAGAGGATTTCAAAGCCATTTTTTTTTTTCAGGATTGCAGTATTCCAGAGATAGAACTTTGCCCACAGTCTGACCCAGTGTGTTGTCCTATTTACATACAGCAAGCGGTCCCTAATTTGGAAGAGCTGAATATCCCCAAATCTATGTCCTTCACTGTGAAGGCAGGAGTGTACGTATCAGTTTCTCTTTGTTACAGTGATTGACGACCACCAAAGTTAACTTTTATTTCATATTTCAGTAGGTGACATACATATTCCTGGGGTGTTAGTTAATTTTATTTGTACTCCTAGATATCCAAGAAAGACCATTGCAGGGATTAAACAGATTCTGTCTTACTTTGGCACCTACTAAGTGTTTGATGTATAACTCACAGGAACAGATAGAGATTCTCAGACATAGTTCTCGATAGATGCATCCACCATCTTTTCCTGCATCAAATTTTAAGACTGAGAAAAGATATGTTCCTGGCCTAAAAGTCTGCAGTCCAAACTATTTCCAGAGTGTCTCAGTGCTTATAGTTTGTGAGGGCCTCTGCAGTCCAGGCACATGATGCCTTTTGATGTATCACCCTGCTTTTCCTGCCAGGCAGGTTGAACTACTCTCATGTCATAAGAGAGGAAATTAAGTGGTTGGTCCTAGGCTCAGCCTTTCTGGCTCCAAAGGTGTCCTCAGGAGTATGGCTCTGAGTTTAATCTTAAATCAGTCTCAGATTGGCTACAATCACAAATTCTGTGGTCCCTGATTCAACACAGACCCCTCTTCTCTCATCCATTGTTCTTTCCTGCTTTGGCAACGATGGTGTAGAATTTTGGGGTCAGCTGTAGGGAAGTTGGTGTAGGGAATCTTTCTTCATCTTTGCCAACCATAGGTTAGAACTCTTGGGCGGACCCAGTAATTAATCCTGTCCATGAGCAGCATTTGTAATCATCAAATTTAGGTGGAAGCTAGTCGGGAATCCTGTATCATATACTGTTCCTGAGGCAGCCAATAGACTGATACTGATTCTAAAAATGTAGGTGAAAGATGTAAGTTGCCTGGTGCAATCCCTACCTCTGATTACTCCAATTGTAAAAAGAGTGGGATATAGTAGAATGGTACTGATACTTCACTTATATTCTGCTTGAATTAAAGGGCTCACACCTTTTAAGTATTGGAAATTTTAATGCTTGGAAAACTTATGGTAGACTTTATTATAGGATAGGCAGTGTTTGAAGGTAACAACTTAATAACATGTCGACTCATTGTATGCTGCTTAGTGAAGTCACTCTGAGTGTGTTTTATATGCATAATTCTTTGACGGGTCTTTGTTTTGTTTTTATGTAGCCCTTTTTACTTTCAATTTTACAGAACCAGACTAAGGTATTCCTGTTATACTTTAACCTGCCATTCCTTTCTTATTTAGTTGGCTTGCCTACCCAGATGTTAATTTTAAGGGGCGTGCTACAGTTCTGGAGGAAGACCATGGACTCTTTGAGATTTCTGCAGCAGAAATGAAATCACTGTATCCACTTCAAATGGTAAGCAAATTTAAAGGGAAAAATTTTCCAAGTACCCATGAATCCAAAATTAAATAGCTTTGAGAACTGCTCATACATCTCAATCCTGAAAATGAATGTGAATACTAAATTAACAAACTATTGGTTCATTGTTTTTCTGTTTCTTTATATCATAGAGAATGTCTGTGTGAAAATTTTTAATTTTCCAGAAGACAAATGTCTGAAATTACTTTGTGCTAAGTTTACTACAATACATGCAATTTCCTTTTAAGTGTTATTCTGTGAGATTTTTGAATATTTAATAAACCTCTGAATTTTTTTTTACACTAATTGTAAGTCACTTGTAAATTACACTCTTCCCTGGTAGCGATGCATGATAAGCTCAGCATTGGTAACAAACGGGCAGCTCTGTCAGTGGCGGCTCTCTAACAGATAAGTACGCGCAGTGTTTCTTTTCTTGCAAACATTTTTATTTGAGGGACAAACTGTTCATTAAATGTGACCTGTGTGATAAACCATATTTGTTTGTTTCATGCCTTTTAAAAAAAATTAATAAGGCAAACTAAGAAATTTTAGAAAATTTCATGATGTGGGTTGTATTAGAAACAAGTGGATTACAGAATTAGAGTTTTTGTGAAGAAAGAGGTACTTTTTATGCCCTACAACCTTGAATCCATAAAGACATTAAATGCGATAAAAAGTGTTGACAGAACTTGAAAGAGGAAGTGCTCTCTCTAATTTAGAAAGCCCAAGTGGTTTTTGAGAAGACATTTAGAAATAAGTGGTTTAGAAATCTCCCCTGCCAGATGAGATTTTTTAAATCTACTAGTGCTTCAACTTTGGGTCAAGATGGTGACTTAGGTAAACACGGCTTGCCTCTTTCACAACTACGTCAAAATTACAACTGCAATATAGAACAATCATCACGCCAAACTGTCAGAAATCAAGTTGAATGGAAGTCTGACAACTACAGAATTAAAGAAACCATATCCATCCAGACTGAGCCGGCAGGTTGGTGCCATATCTGAGACTCCATCCAACTGGCTAGCACTGTTTGACCCAACCTGGAGATCCCCAGAGGCTGTTCCACCCAACTTATGGGCCCACCCAATCTACTTTTTTTAATGAATGGCTGGTGTTGGCTTGTACTTCACAAAACTTCACAACTTCCTAAATTCTCTCTAACAAACAACAGCAGGCCTCAGTGAGCCCCAGGCCCAGCACTAGCAGCAGCCAGCCTAGATTCACAGCTTGTCCTTGCCTGGGAATCTCCAAACCCAGCACAAGTAGCAGCCATCTCAGATTGCTTTATAGCTGAGGCAGGGTGGCCCTGGCAAAACATCACTGAGGGGTTACCTTGGCCTGCACCATCTGGGAAATCCCAGGGCCAGCACACCCACTGGACAGGTACAGACCATGTCGAAGTACCACCACCCTGCCCCTGAACAGCCGATCCTCCACAGAAGGCAGAGGTTGGTGGTCAGTGGTCACAACCAATTCTTGCAGCTACCTGAACTGGATAAATCCCTCTCATTGATCTGCCAAGAGCAACCAAGTCTCAACTACAAGAGGAGGGTGTACTCAGCTCACGTGAAGGGTGCACCTCGAGTGCCCAGCTTGGGTTATAGGGGAGGCTGTGCCACTGGACCCTACAGGATACCTACTACATTAGGCCACACTACCAAAGTATGGAGTCAAAGCAGCTCTACCTAATACATAGAAACAAACACAGGAGACAAAGGAGACAAAAAAACATGGCCCAAATGAAAGAGCAGACCAATACTCCAGAAAAAGACCTAAATGAAATGGACATAAGTAACCTATCAGATGCAGAGTTCAAAACACTGGTTATAAGGATGCTCAAGGAACTTAATGAGGACCTCAACAGCATAAAAAAAGTCCAGTCAGAAACGAAGGATACACTAATTGAAATAAAGAGCAATTTTCAGGGAAACAACAGTAGAGTAGATAAAGCTGAGAATAAATCAATGATTTGGAAAATAAAAAAAGCAAAAACCATCCAATCAGAACAAGAAGAAGAAAAATGAATCTAGAAAAATGAGGGTAGTATAAGCAACCTCTGGGACAACTTCAAGAGGTTCAACATTCACATCATAGGATCATCCTATGATGCAAGGAGAAGAGAAAGAACAAGAAATTAGAAATCTATTTGAAAAAAATAATGAAAGAAAACTTCCCTACTTTGCTGAAGGAAAGAGACTTGCAAGTCCAGGGAGCACATGGAGTCCCAAACAGGATGGACCTGAAGAGGACCACACAGAGACACATCATAATTAAAGTACCGAAGGTTAAAGATAAAGAGAGAATCTTACAATCAGCAAGAGAAAAGCAGTTAGTTACCTACAGGGGAGTTCCCGCAAGGCTGTCAACTGAGTTCTCAAAAGAAACTTTGCAGGCTAGAAGGGATTAGCAAGAAATATTCAAAGTCATGAGAAGCAGGGACCTACAGGTAAGATTTCTCTACCCAGCAAAGCTAGCATTTATAATTGAAGGGTAGATAGAGAGCTTCCCAGAGAAGAAAAAACTAAAGGAGTTCATCATCACCAAACCATTATTATATGAACTAATAAAGGGACTCATTTAAGAAAAAGATCAAAACTATGAACAATAAACTGGCAAAAAATGCATACCTATCAACAATTGAATATAAAAAACAAACTAAGCATATAAAAACAGAGACAGAATCATGGATATGGAGGGAGTTTTGATGGTTGCCAGATGTAATGGTGGAGGAAGAGAATGGCTGAAGAGGTGAGGGGCATTAAGAAGTACAAATAGGTAGTTACTTTGCATAGCCATGGGGATGCAAAGTACAGTGTAGGAAATAGAGAGGCCAAAGAACTTATATGCATGAACCATGGACATGAACAATGGTAGGGGGACTGCTTCAGGGAGTGAGAGGTGCTGTGTGGACAGCAGCAAAGGGGGTAAAATCAGGACAACTGCAACAACATAACCAATAAAATATAATTAAAAAATAAATCTAACAATTCCCCTCTTATTTTTGTATCCTCTGTAGTGGGATTAAATCTATAGTTGCTTGTGTGGGAAAGGACTAAATAAAGTTCAGTCTCCTTCCTTGTAACTGTTGTAACCTGGAAAGTATCTCTTTAGTGTCTGTTGACCCACCTACATTGATGTAGAGAAGTCTTACTTGATTTTAACTATTGTAGAGTTCTCTTTCTTAACATTTTAAATTAACACAGCTTAACTTTAACTGGTAAATAATCTTCATCAATCAGATTTTTATATAACCTATATGCATCACAGTTACTTTCAGATGTTTTTAAATATTTATGTATCTAACATTAAAATTTCTTGTCATCTTTTAAGGGTGGACTAAAAGTGGAAATGCCTATGGACTTAAAGGTAAGTGTTGAACACACTCTTGTAGTAGGCTGAAAAGTTTGAGTATTAATCTTCAAGTAGTTCAGACTGTAAAACAGAAAACAGTTGCCGTGATATATGCTAGTAGTGGCTAGCTCATAGATGTGGGGTGGTGGGAAGTGACCACACAACAGGGTTGCTGAGAGGCCAGGCTGGGAGTGGGGCGTGGGGTCAGAATGCAGAGGTCGAGGTCTGCACTGAAAACCCAGTGAGCACCTATGAACAGGCTAAAAGGTGGTAAGTTTGATTGTTGTTTGGAGTCAGATAATTTGCGGGCATTTGGGAGTGATGCTCAAGAAGATCAAGGATGATCAAAAGGTGGCTGTTTTTTAATTATGAGTATTTGAAGGGTAGAGGCAGTAAACAGTGGAGTCATAGTAGTGCCAAGATTAAGCACATGTGGGAAGGAAAGGTAGAAATAGAACTAGGAATGTGCATAAACAGACATCAGAACATTAACTGTGCCGTGACCAAAGATGCAAACAGGTCTCTGTTGAATTAGGCCACAGCACCTCCAGAGGCAGGTACGAAGGCAGGGATGTACCTATTTTTCTTTTGTTCTACAAAACAAGACACAACTCATCCCAACCTCCTGTTTTGGGGATTCTTAATTTATGGAATTGACTATATCATTCTCTCAGTCATGTAGACGGAGGCTTTTGGAACGCAATATCTGAGTGTATCTAATACATCTTGGCTCTATGATGGAATCATACATAGCTGAGATTTTTTTAAAAATACTATGTCTGGGTTCCACTCACGGAGATGCTCTTTTGGCCTGGGGCGTGGTCACGTGTTTCAGAGTTCCCACGACTCTGACGTGTACCCAGCATTTCAGACCAGGGACCCAATAGATACAGAATTAGCTGCGCCACTCCCTGAGCGACTCCTGTTTCAGTCTCCTCGATTGCTGAGTCAGAGCTTTAGGTGCTGCAGGCCGGGTCTTCCTCGGACCCTCGTGGTTTGACAGGTTGTGGAGGTATATGAATGGAACGGCTGTCATGGCCACTCACCATTTTCAAGTTGTTAAATGTTAGTTTATGGCTTATTCACTAAAGAATTATTGCTTCTTTCTTAGTTTGAGTGTGTTCAGCATGTGTAGCATGTATTAAACCCAAATAAAACTGTATTACTTCCAATACAGTGCCCAGTGAAAACTTAATAACAAAAACTGCAGGAGCAGCGCAACACATTTATTTGTCTATATAATTTTGTCAGTTTTTAAATGTAAGAGAGCTATTACCTGCTGGTTCAATGTGGGTAAAAGTGGGATCTTAATTCACCAAGGTCATGGATTGCTGGTTGTGCACAAATTATGCCATTAGCCACAAACGGGACCCAAAGCAGAGTGTGGGTAGACCAGTGTTGTCATCCCTTCCACATACTGAGGGCAGCTCATGCGTGGGAATAAAGAGCATCAAAATGGTGAAAGACAAGTGCTTTCACCAGTCCAAACTTAAAGTAGATGAAGTGCTGGAAGTTCCTTTCCTTCTGTACTTACCTTCCCTGCTCCCAATTTAGATCAAATAGGGAGTATAAATACTATATTTTTTTTCAATCATGTATTATTTTTAGGAAGCTTTGTACTTAGATTCAAGAATTTGCCTTTCTATTTCTTCTTATTGAATAGTAATGACCACATAACCAGTGTTATAAGAAACAGCATATATTTTCTCACATCAATAGATAATTCATTATTATGCCCTGGGACCTCAAGAGAGTTTTTATTTCTTAAAGGAACAGTTCAAGAAATATAAGGCAGGGTTGTATTAAATCCTAATCATAGGCATAAACTTAGAAAGAAAATTCAAGGCAGTTTATCCTACGAGACGGTCCTAGGACTTGGGTAACCAGAACAAAGTGATCAGCCTTGAGTGTATTAATCTGAGAGAAGTGTACTATTAATTAGATATTTTATCTTCATCATGTTGACTCATTTGTTCCTTGTGAATATTAGACACTGTGATTTGTTGTAAGGATATATTAATGGAAAAACAGCAATCCCTAGTCATGTTGTCATCTTGAGTACCACTTCAGTAAATCAGTAGGTATCTAATCTAAATAATTTTCTTTTGTATTTTTCAGGTTATTATTTATGAAAAACCTTACTTCCATGGACAGGCCAAAGAATTTAGTGAACATATAGATTCTGTCCCAGATTTTTTGAAACACGATGGGGACTTTCAAGGAATTGGATCAATTCGTGTCATCGGTGGAGTGTGAGTGCCGTAGTTCCAGTACTTAGTTTAGTAGTCTGTCTTTTGAATGTCAGTACAATAAAAGTGCCGAGCAGAGCAAAACAGCCTGCCTTTGTCTGAAGAAAGAAGTTCCTTCGATAATATGGGAAATAAAAAATATATTAGTTACTAACAGCTTTCTGTGAACTTTTGGTATTATAGATTTGGAGATAGATTAAATATAGAAACAGTTTCTAAAACTTCAACACTTAGTATTGCTAAGCACAGTACAGAAATAAGAACTGCAAATAAAAGCAGTGTTTTTACAGGTGATGAACACAGATGAGAGCCCTAGTTTCAGTCCTGTCTTGTTGATCGTGGTTGACTTTCTGTGCTGAAGACATTGACAGCGAGCCCTCCCTCCTTAAAGCAGTAGCCCGGCTTGTCTGTTTCAAAGTCAAGCGTTTTTTATATTAATTACCCTCCAGCCCTGACCTGCTTTTGGAAGCCCCCAAAGGTCTCCTAAGTGTGATCTCAAGTGTAAAACCCAGTCTCAATCAGCAGTTACTGGGGTTGGAACCCCAAAATATCTTTGCCCTGGCTGGGCTGTGCCTTTTTTATTAATCCTCACCCAAGGATATGTTTATTGATTCTTAGAGAAGGACATGTCTATAGATTTTAGAGAGGGGGGAAGGGAGACACAGACATCAATGTGAGGAAGAGGTGTCAATCAGTTTTCTCCCGTATGCACCCTGACTGGGGATCAGACCCATCACTGAGCAGCTACTGTAATTTTGCACCCTATAGAAACAATCCTTTGGAATATATTTTATATCTTCACAACTGTAGTAGGGGTAGAAAAGGAAAAAAAATACCTGTAGCCCTACCAGGCTTCATTTTGTCAAACTCCAGAATTCAGAAGTCCCAACCCAGGAGCCCAAAATAGTCATCCTCGGAGTAAGTGTGCCGGGGCAGCCGAAGGCAGAGTTACGCAGGTCAGCACACATCGCGGACCCTCTGTATTGTGAACACACTGTATTAGCTCCTCCCCTTACTCCACAAAAAGTAAGTTTTGTGGAGGAGCTTAATATCAGTGTTCTGCACTGGTGGTTTTAGATTAAAAGTCAAACAACCTGTGTCCCCAAGAAGTACTCTGCCACAGTGCTTCCTGTTTCCATGATCACCACTGATAAAATGGTGGGAGCAACATTTCCCTCTGTAAATACTGAAGTCTTCGTGTACACGTAGGCCACCAGCGCTAACCCAGCTTGGTCGCATTTCCCACTTTCTCCTTGCTGCACCCCCCTGTAATGTGTTTTAGGTTTCAAGCCTGGTGAGCAGTTCCTTTGACTTAAACCCTAAATAAATGTTTAAAGAGCTATCATTCTGTGGTTCCAGAAGGGCTTTGTCAGTAAAACAAGAATGTTAATCTCTGAATCTCAGCATAGATGTATAACTTCTTTCATTGCTTATTAGTGCTTTCCATTATTTTTTACGTGACAAACTACTCTGCAGCCGTTTTGAGACGTGGCATCAGGCCACACTGTGTACACGTAATGCGCATTGCTTTGTTGCAGTTCTGCAACAGTCAACCTTTCATTGGGAAGAGCCTCCAAACTACTGAATATAAAAATTATTGATCCAGGATGCATACAACATTTATCTTTGTAAATGGTAGCAAAATAAATATGTTGCTTTTTAAAATATGGTGATGTGGACCAACTAGATGCTTTATCACAATTTTTTTTCGTGCTTTCCTGACTACAGTTTTATTAATGGCTCCGTTGGTGTCCTGTGTATTTCTAGGTGGGTTGCCTATGAAAAAGAACACTTTAAAGGCCAGCAGTTCTTGCTTGAAGAAGGAGATTTTGAAGACAGTACTGCTTGCGGGGCGTTGAGTGGCCCCATCTTGTCTTTCCGGTACTTACAAGCTGTGAGTTAGCTCCCAAATTCTTAATTTCTCTCTCTGTATCTTTCCATAAATCCTGGACATGACCTCTGACAGAGTATGAGGTTATAAAATGTTTCTGAAACCAGAGGGCACAAGACTGAACTGCTTATGTGACTTGCCTGTTTTTAACTGCCATTATCACTGCAGAATGCTAATATTACTTTTTCATCTATTGATTCCATGTTCATTGAGCACCTGCTGTGATAACTGTATTGTGTCAGGTGCTGGAGATACAGTGGCCAGAGATAGTCCCTGCTTCACAGAGCAGGAGTCTGGTAGGGAAGCAACACTTATATAAATATTTAATATTGTTTGACTGATTGGATTGAGGACAGAGTACTCAGGGTAGTGAGAAAAAGGTCAGTTACTCCTAACTGGAAGTGAGAAGAGGTTAAGATGACAGCTGAGTTGAAATTCAGTTAGCCAAGTGAGGATACTCAGGACAGGGTGAAGGGGAAAGGTAGGTGCAGTTTTAGCAAGAGATCAACACGCGTAAGGGCAAGGATGTCAGCCAGTGGTTCTCGGCTTGGGGTGGTTTTACCCTCTAGGGGGTGTTGACGGTGTCTGCAGAAAGTTTGCACTGTCATGGTGTGTGGGCTGGGGAGGGGGGATGTGGTGGGGGAGCTACTGATGTTTTGTGGGTAGAGGCCAAGGACCCTGATAAATGTCTACAGTCCACTGGACAACTCCCCTACTCCCACCCCCCTAACAAAGAAGGAATCATCTGACCCAAAAGTTAGTAGTGCTGAGGTTGAGACACTGCCATATTCAGTAAAAGGGGGTGTGTCTGGGAAATGCAGCCAAGTGAGGGTGTTAGGGAGAACTTTGGGAAAATGCATGCAGAACCAGATAGTGAAGGGCCTTATATGCCACAGGGCGAGAGTTCAGATTTTTTTTTTCCTTGACTTGACCGTGAGCCACTACTGTATTTGAGACCTAGTGAGTCTGATTAGCAGTTTAGAAGGCTCTTTTTTGGTGACTGTGTCAAGAAATGGCATGGTGTGAAGGAAGTATGCAAACAAAAATAACCCTCCTGTCACCAGTTGAAATCTACCAATAGTAGAAAATGTGAAAAGATATGGATACTTATAACTATACAGGGTAGGGCAAAAGTAGGTTTACAGTTGTATCTACTTTTGAATACAGTAATTATTATTCTTATGTTGTTATTTACTTATTAATTACTTATTACTTAGATTATTAACTTCCTAAAAAGGAAACAATGTACACCTACTTTTGCCCCATCCTGTATAGTTAAATAATGAAGAAATATTTGATGTAGTCTATGATAATATCCATTGGGAAAATTGGCATAAATTGGCATGTATTAGTGCTGCACACAAAATTTGTAGCATTTACCAAAATGATGGCACACAGTTTTTATGTAAATAAGTAAAAATACCCTTCAAAGAAAATCTTCTGTTCTCTTTAAATTAGATTTTTTCATTAAGATTAGTAGTTAGATTATAGTTAAAGATGTTTTCATAACCCTCACTATAATATTCTGACACTTTGTTACATGCCTGCTTACACTTCGCCTTCACAAAGACAGTGAGCCACTCGTGAGTCCCTTCTTACAGACACGGAAACCGAGGCGCTAAGAGATAGAGCCCGTGTGTGAAGATGTGATCTGAGGGCTAGCCTGCCTTACTCTGGAGCCTCTGCCGTATCATTCACTTTCCTCATTTACAAAGTGGTTAGCCTAAAATAACACCTTAACATGGAAAACTGGATCTCATTCAGCCAAAGGTTGATTAGCATTTCATTCGTAACTATAAATATATGGTCACATTGCAGAATAATGTACATATATAAAATAAATAATAACTTACATGAGCTTTCAGTTTAGTTATAATTTAAATTTATGTTCACTAAAATATTTGCTGATGAAATATCCTTAAAAATCATATTTAGAAAATTTAGAATTTAAATTCTATATATTATTAAAAATTCCTTAAAAACTTATCAAGTTATACTTTAAAAAATTTTACAAGTGCTAGACACAGCATATAATTAGGCAGTTCTCTTTTTTTAAAAAATGTTTTATCGAGGCATGATTGACATCTACAAAGCTGTACACATCCAGTCCAGCAGAAGTAACGCGTGCATGGGTGTGGTTGGTAGGGTAATAATATGGGTGTAATAACTTACAGTTTTAATTTGAATATTTCACCTAAAATGTCATTTGGTGTGCTTGAATGTGATATTGTTATGTTACAGAATTACGTGCTTATGGTTTTGTAATAAAAGAATTTAATTAAAAAGGGGCATTATTTGTGCTGGACCCTGTGTTTAATGTGTACAACTCAGTGAGTTTGGGGATAAGTCAACACCTGTGGAACCATCGCCACCATCACGGCCACTGACATATTCATCACCTCCCAAAATTTCCTCCCACCCCCTTTATTACTTCTTTATGTGTGTGATAAAAAAGACTCTAAACCTAAGGTCTACCCTCTTTGAAAAATTTAAGTATGTAACACAGTATTTAGAAACAGGATTTAAAACTTTGTGGTTGTCACAGACCTACGTACGTATGTTGTCAGACAGAACTGGTGTAAGACATCATTTCCCCACAGGGACTCTCAGATGTCTGTAACCTTGGAAAGAGTGAACTGCTACACTTAAGATCTACGTTGAAGCAGTGTAGAACAAACAAAATGATAGAAAAACTACACAACACAGTGCAGTTTCCTAATGTCCTGGCTCCAGTGTGCAGAACACTGTAGATCTACTGAGGTCAAAGCCAGGACGGATTCCTTGGGGATAACGTGAGCTGTGTCCCAGAGTGCTTTGGAGAGTACCACCAGAAATGTGTTCCTAACTCCAAATGAGTCAGGCAGATGTGTTGACTTGGACTCAATTATTTTTTAAAGGACAAGACCAGAAGGAATATAGCAGTATTTAGACTCCAGGGATTAAAGAAGGAATTTTTATTCCTTGGCTTCCTCAACAAAACTGTCTTGGTAGGCTTGTTTCCCCTCAGTTTTTTACTAGCTGTTTTGGATTTGTTTTTATGATTTTCAGATTTGGGGCTTCTTTTCAGATTGCTGGAACCAGGTGGAATGCAACAGAGATCAGTATTGCTCTCAAATTGATGGATGCACTTGATCTGCACTGGTGTCTTGAGTTATGTTGCCCCCGGGGTGGGGGATGGGGGGGTGAACAAGAGCTCCAGGGCCCAGTCAACTGAAGGAGTTTATAGAATTTCAAAATAATCAAACCACTGATCCTTAAGACTTATCTTTGGCCCTGCAGCAACTGCTCGTTAGTTTTCTCTAGCAGTGGGAGTACTGTACCTGAGACTGTATTAAACTATAAATGGGTTTAAGTGCTTTAAAAAAATAAAAGGGAATATAAATTTGAGGTCATTCCATCCTTATTCATTCTTCTTGAGCTGTGGAGCTCCACTCGAATCAGCATGACTTTCAAAGTGATTTAATTATGCCCAAGAAAGTGGGGATGACAGTGACCTAGGAACCTCGCAGGGCTTACTCAGGACAGGACTCTGAGTGCCTGTTGCAGTCACCTCCTGAACAAGATAGGTAAAAGATTTTTGTTAGAACTCTGTCCAGAAGGGCCACCATTCTGATGGCAACTAGTCAGCTGGATCAGATACTGTGTATTTGGTAGGTCTGGGGGAAAACAGAGAGAGGGTCAAAAGTAGGGGGGCGGAGTGGTGCAGAGGGCACTTAGAAAAAGATGGAAGGCAGACGCTGTAAGGCACAAAAAGCCATGGGCAGAGGAGAGTGCCGCCACTTGGGAGACACCCTCCGCCCTTGGTAGAATCTCTGGGGATGGTAGACAGAGCAGGAAGGACACAAACGCGAGACATGGGAGTAAATTTGTTTTTGAACTCACACGCTGTGCTGTCAGTACTGGTGCTTTGCTGTGGACCCTGTGACAGTGGAATCCACCCCTGCACTCAGTTCCAGGCTGCGTTGCTGCCGAGTGGCCTGTGCCTGCAGCCTGCTTCCCAGCTCACCCTCCCCTCTGCTGTCCCCGCCCCACAACCCACACAGTGAGAGATCTGTGCAAATCACTGCTCTGATGGAGTACCTCACACCACAAGTTATGTTCGTGAAAGGGCACAAACGCCACACACAGGCACAGATCTGTATATGTTTTCCTTTGTCCCATTTGACCCCAACATAATACAGTGACAGACCCACAGTATTTTTCAGCTTGTCCTTGCTCACCCATTCCTAAAAGCCCAACAGGGAGTAGAGAACAGGCAGGTGTGGAGGCAGAAGAAGCAAAAGCAGAGGTGGAGCATTCCCGAGTCACAGGAGTGTGAGAGGAGGGACCCGTGTCTTTGAGAGCTGCGAAAGATCTGCCCACCCTGGTGGGACCTGGCTTGGTTGGTGGCTATTGATTCTGGTTCCCAGCTGCCCTGAGCTAAATGCATGTTTTCAGGTTGCAAGAGACAAAGTCATGTTTGGGTACTTCGGGTGACGGAAGTGTGTGTTGTCAATACAACCAGGTTGGTTGACGTGGCACCCAGGCTATAAACATACTTCAGTTGGGAGGTTTATTCTGGGTCCTTTAAGGCAAATTGCTAATGGGCTTATTAAAGCCTTGGTTTCCTCATATGCAAAGCAGCAGATATATAGATATGTTTTTATAAAAGTGTGTATATACTCATGTACAAATATTACTCAATATATATATTACCCAGTATAATTGTAATCACTCAATTTCTTAATTGTAAAATGGGAGTGATAGTAATATAATCTCATGTGGTGGCTCTTTTGTAAACAGTGCACATAAAACTCCCGGTCAGTACTAAGTATAGGATGTTTTTAACTATTAGCTTGTTAAAAACTCTGTATTTATTCCACCAACTGGTGGATGCATGCAAGTTTATCTTTATACATCTTTTGGACATTTACATTGTTTACAGCTTTTCATTATTACAAGTACTGCATCTTTGCATATAAATCACCTGATGTCTAGTTTCTTTAAGAAACTCAACTTAAAAAGGAATTAATTTTAGGCTCAAATAGTGTGAACAATCTCAGTCTTTTAAATATATTTCTAAATTATTTTCTAAAATAGCTATCCAGTGTATATTTCCATCAGCAGTGTTCCCAGACAAAACTGGATTTTAAGATCCTTCATAATTTAAAAAGTGAAAATTGTGTCAGTTGTTTTAATTTGAACTTATTATTACTAGTGAAATTAGACATTTGCTTGTTTTTAATTTTTTTGTGAATTGTCTGTGGGGTTTTTTGCTGACTTATTAATTTGGGTTCTTAGAATTTTTCTGATAATTTTGTTTCAAATACGTTCTCTGACTAAAATTTTTTTAATTTTTCTCTCAATTTAATTTTTTAGTAATTTTTCTTTTGTCAAGCAGACTTTTTTTTCCTATTTCATTTAAGTGCATAAAATCCTCTCCCTCCTTGCCCATTTTGTTTCAATTAGCTTTTGCTATTTAGGCATAAGTGAGACTTTAGTTTCTTTCCAATTGGTGTTATACACGGTAGCCTGTAAGTCCTAGCAATTTACCAGCTGCCGGCTGATTTCCATTTCTATAAAAGTGTTCTGTTTTTCTGATTAAAGTAAACATTGAGGCTTTTTTTTTAAAACTACTGGTATGTAGGAATAGTGACTATTAAAATTGTTTCCAGTGCCATTTAAAATTCTTCCTGGAGCTATGTGTGTGAAAATTATCCCACCAGTATGTGAAAGTTGTGCAAAGATTTAGCAATCTGTAAAACAAAATGCATACATTTTTCTAAATTTTTCCTCTTCCTCTTTGTAGAATTTTATAGAATCTTCCATCACACTGTTTGAATCTGACCTGGAAAGTGGGAAATTTATTGACATTAGAAATCAGGAAATCTCTGACTTAGAAGAGGTTGGCTTTGGCACCGAAACAAGATCCATTCACGTTAAAAGCGGAGTGTAAGTCATCTTCCTCCCCAAGAACCTTGAGCGATTCTCTGGTGTTTAACGTTGTTGGTGGCTCAGTTCTGCATCACCACTGTTCTTTCTCCTTTCCTCCCCTAACAGATGGGTTGCCTACCAGCAGAAGTTTTTCTGTGGAGAACAGTACATTTTAGAGAAAGGGAAATACAAATGCTTTTTTGACTGGGGAGGATCAAATAACATAATCCTGTCAATACGACCTGTCCAACTGGTGAGTTAAGTGTGAACATAACTAATGCCAGTGGTGTGTAATGGCATACAACTGAATTTGTGGAACCAGCTTTTTAAAAGTAGAATTGTCGAACTATGTTATATGTGTATATAGAGAAAAGGAAACAGCATATGAATTTCTAGAGACTCTGTAGAGAGCTTGTATGTGGAAGGTATTAGCACATTGATGAAGTGACTCTGAAGTTTGTGCAGTTCATTCACTGAGCAGCATTCACTTTAGTGCCCCTTATAAGCCAGCCCCTGTTCTGACTGACTGGAGAAAGATGGAAAAGACTTCCCCGATGAGTCTCAGTCTCTTTGAGGAGATAGACATTTGGACAGTTGATATAGAGTGATTAGTGAGAAAATGAAGTGTGTAGGCGGGGGTGGGGGGATGGGACGGGGAACAGGTGAAAGGGAGCATTCAGAGCCTGGGGACTTAGGCAACGTGCCACAGAAGAGAATGCATTGAGTGATGATATCTTAAAGGACAAAAACAATTTTTCCAGGCATGGAAGGGGGACAGAAAGGGCATTCCACAAAAAGCTTGGGTGGTAACACACTGCAGGACAGCATGGGTACCCATGAGACAGTTACGGGAGAGGGAGGGTGCAAAGTCCAGGCTCTTATTCGAATGGGTATTGAGGCACATTTTTCTCCTAGCTACAGTATTACTCAAAATGAATTAGTAATAAATACAAAATTATTATAAGAGAATTCATTAAGTTATGAGTATCATGGCCAAGTCAAGGAATCTAGTAAATTGGCTAGACCTTACCCACCTACCCCCAGCAAAGAATATTTTCAGAACTTTCAAAAGACAACTAAGAGTATATGGTAATATTTTTTTAATGTTTTAATTTTTTTCAGGAACCACTTGGAATAAATGAGCCTCCATACTTGGTATGTTTAAAAATAGCCTTGCCGTGGGCTTGTTAAATTGTTTACTAAAAGCATCTATGCCCTTTCCCTCAGATAACTGTCTTGTGGCTCTATGTCAGGGCAGTTGGCTTTGTGCTTGGGACCTGTGAGCCTAAGAGTGCCCATCTTTCTCTCGGGCTGTTCTGGCCTGGACCTGTACAGTTCCTTTTGTTTTCTTCTGTTAGAGCAGGGGGGTCAAACTCATTTTCACTGGGGGCCACATCAGCCTCAAGATTGCCTTCAAAGGAACGAATGTAATGTTAGGACTGTATAAATGTAACTGCTCCTTAACAGTTAATCGAGAGCTTGACACTACCCCTGGGTAGAAACAAGGTGCTGGACCCAAAAAAACAAGGTGGAGGGCCGGATTTGGCCTGGGGCCTTGTGTTTGCCACCGGTGTGTTAGAGGTTCAGCTCTGACCACTTGGGGGTCATTTTGAACCTCTGTGACTCTCTCTTTCCTATTGCCCTTCTGTTCTTGAGTGTTTTGTTCTTAGCACAGTATATTACACTGCCTTGGGAGGAGCAAGCTTACCATGAAGCAATAGCTGTCTTGGAATGTGTATTATGTAAATGTATTTCTAATACCTCAATCAGATTTTTTTAAAGCACTAGTAAAATTGCATCCTTCTTTATTTCTAGTATTAGTGATTTAAAGGATTGGGTAATACTATGGAGCCTAATGTTTGTTTATTATCCATTGAGGGCTAGAAGTTATGCTTTTTTTTTCACTTTTTAAATTGAATTTATTAGGGTAACATTGGTTAATAAAATTATACAGGTTTCAGATGTATAATTCTATAATGCATCATCTGTGTATTGTATCGTGTGTTCACACCCCCAAGTCAAGTCCACTTCCATCACCATTTATCCCTCTTTACCCTCTTCTACCTGCCCCCACCTCCCTCGCCCTCTGGTAGTCAGCATACTGCTGTCTGTGTTTATGAGGTTCTTTTTGCTTTTGTTTTTGTTTTTAGCTTAATCCCTTAACCAACTTAAGCCAGTCGGAGAAAGACAAGTACCATATGTGTTCACTTACGTGTGGAATCTCATAAACAAAATTAACTAACAAAATAGAAACAGACCCAGAGAACAAACTGACAGCTGTCAGAGGGCAGGGGAGTTATGGAGCTGGCTGAAAAAAATCAAATTGAAATTGTGCTTATTTGGTGCTTCTAACTACTTTCTGAGGTCACGATTAATCTCACTTATTGATGAGCTTACTGAGAATTAGAATTTGTCATTTCACACAACAAGAAGTAGCAAAGTAGGTGTTTTCTAGTATCTGACACAACTTAACCACACTGTCAGGATTTTACATCAAGAAAGACACGTCATGATATGAGCAGCACAGCTATAGAAGGAAGAGAGGATGAGAGATATTACTTTCTCTGTCTCATTTTAAATAACAAATTTGGAAGTTTTTCTGTCATAAAGTCAAATATATTGATTAATTTTAATTATTCAACATTTTCTAGCATTATATAATGCTGAATATTTCTCTTTGAGTCTATATGCTTTTCATGTCTGTGTCAGTGTTTATATATTTCAAATCAGTTTAGTCATGTTTCAATTCACAGTGCATTCAGGTTTTATTTTAGGATTAACTCGGGCCTATTAGGAACATTTTCTTTCTAAATACAGAGTAGGGCAAAAGTAGGTTTACAGTTGTGAATACACAAAACACGGAGTTAATAAAGCTTTTGTAATAACCATAATCTGCTTGTCTTTTTCTGTACAAACAACTGTAACCCTACTTTTGCTCCACCCTGTATAATCGAGCTGTTGTTCTGGAGATACTTCCTGCCAGATATTTATTTTGAATGTTTGTAAACTCCAACTGTGGACTTTTAAAGCACTTTTTATCATGAATCAACATAACTTAAGTAGTTAAGGAGTTAAACAGGGATAATTCCTAACTGCATATTTTCCGAGTTTTAAGTACAAATAATAGTCACATTCTTTCAAGCTCCGCATTCTCCCTCCTGTGCCCCTGTTCTTTTTTATGGACTTCCTTGTTTGGGGCAGATTGCTCAGAGGATTTTCTTCACAGCATTTCCAGTCCAACTTGAAGAGAAAAGGAAGCAGCAAAAAACACCCAGTGAAATCAGCCCCATTTCATTTGTCTGCATGTGGCTCAGCTATTGCCTTGCGAAATAAACGTTTCTGACAGGTTGATAGATGGGAATTTGGTAACATGTAGACAAAGCCTCCTTAGTTTCCCCAGTATCAAAGCTCTTATTTCCACTGGACCAAATTTTCAGAACGTTTTGTCTTTACTTACCCAAGTAAAAACAAAAGCATTGGCTGACATTCTGGTTCCATTCAGTAACTAAAAAATATTTTCTTCTTTACGAGTAGCTGTGATCGTCAGATTGGCAATTTAGATGCTGTGTTCAGATGAAGTAGCTATTTTTTCTGTCTGCCGTATGAGAAGGAAGTTACATCTCAGAGTTCAAATCAGAGACAGGATTTTTTTTTTTTAATGCTGATGATTTGAAAGGGAACATCAAGCATCCTAAGAAAGGAAAACCCAGAAATTGTATGTGTTTAAAGGTCAATATACATCATGAGAATTATGCTAATAAAAATATTGTTAATGTGTAGAACACCTTTTTTGAGAAGATTATTTTTGACTGAAGTTCAATCACCAAGTCTAAATGCCAACTCAAAATATAAAGGATCATTATAGAGTTCTTCATCTTCAGCAAGTGTCCTTTTATTCTTTACCCCCCAAACAAAACAAACTGCAAACCATGTGAATCATGTTCATAATGTCGTCATCACCCACCCCCAAACAAGTCCAAATCATAAATTTGCCTAAGTTAAATCTTATAACAGTGAGTTCCATTTTCAAGAAGTTTGTAGTCAGGCACCATTCTCTGCAAATTCAAACCAGTTTCCCCTTCGATCCAACCAAGGACTTTGCTTTTCTAGAATCTTTTTCAAGTCTATTCGCAAATATACAAGGGGAGACCCCCCAAGAAAATGATATTCATCTTCTGGAGGGCGGACCCCTTGTAGTATCAGCTTCCCCTGCTAGGTGAGTGTGCTAAGAACCCATCTGTATCAGTGTACCAGCTGGCTTTCTGAGATGCTGCGTTCGGCTTCAGTGAATTTTTTTTAAGACTCTTTCAATGTGTTTGCCCATCTCATGTTGGGGGATTTACGAGCACACCTGCCCACACAGCGCTGAGTGTTCAGCAGTTTTTGACCAAAAACAGCATGAACCCCCATGCCCCACCCTCCCTATTCTCCCAATCACACTGCAAGCAACTTTTTTTGTATCTCCCAGTGAAAAAAGTCCTCAAAGGGAAATATTTTGCTGATGTAGGAGAGGCAAAACAACACAGCAGAAGCACTGAAAGGCATTAAAATCGAAGAGTTCAAAACTTTTTTGAGCAGTGGAAAAAACATCTCGATAGGTGTATTGCATCAAATGGAGAGTACTTTGAGGTGACTAAAGTTTAAACATGTAAGAATAAATACACAATTTTTTATAAATTCCTTTTTCTGGTGGTCTCCCTTCATGATCAGAAGTTTGGATTTCTTTAAGTATTGAGCCCCTGTTCCATTTTATGTGCGATTCTAGCTGAGAAAAAGCAACTACATGTTTCCTATATTGCATAATTTAGCCACATTGAATTTGAGTAATGATAGGATTTTTTTTTAGATTTTATTTATTTATAAAGAGAGGCAAGGAAGGAAGGAGAGGGACAGAAACATAGATGTGAGTGAGAAATGCCAATCGGTTGCCTTTGTAGGCTCCCCAACCAGGGACCAAACCTGTAACGTAGGCATGTACCCTGACTGGCAGTCAAACCAACTGAGCCACACTGGTCAGGGCTGGTTACAGGATCTTTAATAGTTGTGTTTACTGATATCATTGATGGGAGACAGGCAAACAACAGTTTTAGTCAAATATCAGTAGGATTCAAGAGCAGTACTGTAACCAAATTATCCTTATAGAATGCAAAGCCTAGAGATACTCAGGAAGTACTATTACTGTAAGTAAAGAATGCCCTTCTCTAAGTATTCAGGGAAGTACAATTATTATAGGATATGTAATTGACAGGAAAAGTAGGTAACTCTACAATATGCAGTGGTATGATGTAACAGAAGATTGGAAATAAGACTTCTGGCTAAGATGGAGGCATAGGGAGATACACTTTGCCTCCTAGCACAACCAAACGAAGGACAACAACAAACAAACAAAAAAAAATAACCAGAACTGCCAGAAAATCGAACCATGTGGAAGTCTGACAACCAAGGAGTTAAAGAAGAAACATCCAGACTGGTAGAGGAGGGGCAGAGATGGGCAGCTGAGGTAGAGAGGACCTGCAGCAAGTGGCAGCTGGAGGACCAGGGCAAGTGAAGTGGTGGTTGGCAGAGAGGATGTCCCATATTTGTGTGCAGATAAACCAGGAGGAACAACTGGGGAGACAGACCACACAACGCAGGGCTCCAGCTCGGGGAAATAAAGCCTCAAAACCTCTGACTGAAAATACCTGTGGGGGTTGAGACAGTGGGAGAAAATCCCAGCCTCACAGGAGAGTTTGTTGGAGAGACCCACAGGGTCCTAGAACATACACAAACCCACCCACCTGGGAATCAGCACCAGAAGTGACCAATTTGCTTATGGGTAGCGGGGGAAGTAACTGAAAGCCTGTGAAGAGCTGGGCAAGCAACACTGTTCCCTCTCAGACCGTTCCCCCACATATAGCACCACAATGCAGCAACTGGGTTGCTCCACCCTGATGAACACCTAAGGCTCTGCCCCTTACTATGTAACATGCAGGCTGAGACAAATATATGGTGCAAGTGAAAGAACAGATCAAAGCTTCCAGAAAAAATACAACTAAGTGATGAAGAGATAGCCAGCCTATCAGATGCACAGTTGAAAACACTGGTAATCAGGATGCTCACAGAAATGGTTCAGTATGGTTGCAAAATAGAGGAAAAAGTGAAGACTATGCAAAGTGAAATAAAGGAAAATGTACATGGAACCAACAGTGACAGGAAGGAAACTGGGACTCAAATCAATGGTTTGGAGCAGAAGGAAGAAATATACATTCAACCAGAACAGGATGAAGAAACAAGAATTCAAAAATATGAGGAGAGGCTTAGGAAACTCCAGGAAAACTTTAAACATTACAACATCCAAATCATAGGGGTGCCAGAAGGAGAAGAGGAAGTCCAAGAAATTGAAAACTTATTGGAAATAATAATGAAGGAGAACTTCCCTAATCTGGCAAAGGAAATAGTCATCCAGGAAGCTCAGAGTCCCAAAGAAGTTGGACCCAAGGAAGCACACACCAAGGCACATCATAATTGTGTTACCCTAGATTAAAGAGGAGAGAATCTTAACAGCAGCAAGAGAAAAGGAGAGAGTTACCTACAAAGGATTTCCTGTTAAACTAGCAGCCTATTTCTCAAAAGAAACCTACTAGGCAAAAGGGGTCTAGAAAGAAGTATATGAAGTTGTGAAAGGCAAGGACCTACACCCCAGATTGCTCTATCCAGCAAAGCTTTCATTTAGAATGGGAGGGCAGATAAAGTGCTTCCCAGATAAGGTCAAGTTAAAGGAGTTCATCATCACCAAGCCCTTATTATATGAGATGTTAAAGGGACTTATTTAAGAAGAAGATCAAAAGCACAAACAATAAAATGACAACTCACAGCTGTCAACAACCAAACCTGAAAAACCAAAAACTGTAAACATCTATATCAGGAACAGATTCACAGAAATAGAGATCACCAATAGAGAAATAGAGTGGGGAGAGGATGGGGGAGAATGGGGGTAAAGGTACAGGGAATATGAAGCATACATGGTAGGTACAAAATAGACGGGGAGGTTAAGAATAGTGTGGGAAATGGAAAAGCCAAAGAACATATGTATATGACCCATGGACATGAACTAAGGTGGGGGAATGTGGGTGGGAGGCAGGTGCAGGGCTGAAGGGAATAAAGGGGAGGAAACAAATGGGACAATTGTAGTAGCATAATCAATAAAATACATTTTAAAAAGATTGGAAACAAGATTGGAGGCAGCAGGAAGTCTTTTTCAAAAAGTATAGAATGTCTCTCATAGAAATTGTTTTAATATTGGATTAAAGTATGCTTTAAAATTCTGATATTGTAGGTAAATTGAGTACAACTTCTGTTTGGTCAGGTAATTGCTCTTGAGTTTTAGTTTGTCATATTTAGTTTGTCAGACCTGTTACATTTATTCATATATATCATAAATGAGTACATAAGAAAAAGCATTTCTGCAAAACTGATAGTGTTGATGGTTTCTGCCTCAAAGGATAGTTCTAAAGAAGAAATAAGGTAATATATGAGAAAAGGCACCTTGCAAACCAATAGTACAGTGTGTTTTTCTCCCTCCATTCAGTTCCACCTGAGGGGCTGGTAGGAATTGAGCCACACCCAGATGGCCCAGAGGGCTGGTGTGGTTTGAAAGAAACTCGCCCTTTGTTTATCTGACTTCTTGCCTGTGTTCTAAGCCACCTCTCTGAGTTGTTTTGTACATTTATTCTATAGTAATTTTGAATGGAAACCAAAATAGTTATCCAGCTAGCATTTCACAGGACTTAACTTCACCAGGAGCAGAAATCACAGTTTAATTATTTTAAGTCTTAAGTGCTGTGTTGGTTTCTGTAGGGACGACCCCCAGAACATTATTATGAGAACTGTTCTGAAGCATTTGTCAGGTGGTCAGAATGAAGTGTTACTTTTTTGGTGTTGCTCAAATTTTGGAGGAACCAAATCTCATTTTAGGGGTAAAAATAAACTCAGACCAACATTAAGCCCTGTTTTTTAGTTTGGGTAAAGAATAATTAACCCATAAATCAAAAAGATACTTTATGGCAGATTGTGTGTATGTGTGTGTGAATTTTAATTAATACTTCTGGGTATGAAAACTGAGACTAAAAGTAGAGGTGGCTACTATACATATCAACTGAAGCATGTCTAACTCACACTGCCAGTTGTCCAGGATTTGACATTTCGTGTTGAAATATTGAAGTATAATCTTCAACAATATGAAAATAAACTGCAAATACAAGTAGTGAATCAAGAGACCATGATCTCCATTCTCATGTGGCTTTTCTGGTTCTTATTGTGAAGTAAGATAATATCTGCATGTAGGAAACATTATATTTTTGGAAGTAAAATGTGATTTACTTTTAGACTCATGCTTTATAAGCCTTTAAGTTTAAAAGAATAGCCTGAAAAAAACTACTAACTGAAATACATGCTCTTAAGAAGGAATTTTGGGGCAGCTTCCCTGGACATGCAGAATTGTTCTGACACAGCAAATTGTTCCAGAAGTCTGTCTTGTTTGGGATGTCCTTTCTGTTGCTGTCCGCTGTATGCACCAAAAGGACCCTGGTAGAAACTTGCTGGTTCACACCTCCTTACATTAGGGAGTCGCTTGGTGTTTTAATTGCTCCAAATACAGTGTGGTTCCAGACTTGGATTAAAAAAAAAAAATCTGTGCTTCCAAGCAGCTTGATTTTCTTTAACCATGATGTGAGGGAGTGTGTGAGGTACTTTCCAGATTCTCCTTACATGGAGGACTTGTTGCTCAGCTGCTGGGAGGGTGGAAACCAGAATTGGAATCAAGACAAATACCACATGATTGCACTCATATGTGGAATCCAATGAACAAACTGAACTAACAAGCAAAACAGAGCAGGCTGACAGCTCCAAGGGGCCGTGCAGGTGTTAGGAGGTGGAGGAATTGAGCAAAAAGGAAAAGGACTTATGGATGTGGACAACAGTGTGGTGATTGCAGCAAGGAGGAGTGTATAAGGAAGCTAAAAGATAATGGAAAAATACAATAAAAAATAAAAGTTTTAAATACAAAAAAACAAACAGCCTGGTTTCACAGTAGGAAGTCATGTTCAGGCCACAGATGGTCGGGGCGAATTCGTTCTCTCACCTCCCTGGTTTTGGCTGATCTTTGATGTCGGACTAAGCAACATCAAAGTAGAAAGCTATAGTCAAGAAAGAATTCCTCATAACTCAGATCATTGACCTCGAAGGCAACCCTGAGGAAGGTGAAGGAAGCAAACATCCCCTGCTCAAAGAAGCCTCATTCTCCACGACAGTGTGAGCAGGAGAGAGGGCAATGCCACAGACGGTTCGCTAGGTGCATTCTTAGCTACTGTACGGCCCATCAGTGCTTGGCAGACCTGAGGTTCACGTTATTTCAAGGCTCTGATGTATTATGAAGTATTTATAGGGCTCATTGATTTTTTTCCCACCTATTTTTGGTCCATGGTAACTAGAATTCTGGTATTATATCTCTGGCCTAAAGGGAATTATACCTGAGATTTCATGGATTTTTCTTGACAGAACGAAAGTAAAAATGTAGTTGTATATAACTGCAAGCAGTACATTTACAGTATTCCTATCAGCAGACCAAATCCTATAAGCTGAGGTACAAGACACAGGCCTTTCTTCCTTCACCGTAAATCTTCCACTAATCCCATCATTACCATCTTCACCAGCTGCTCCTGCTCACTTAATGGGCATGTGCTTGCGTTCTCTCCTCACTTTTATTAACTTTGGATCAGGAAGAATGGGAGAGAGAACAGATGTACCAACCACCCCTCATACTAATCCAAACCTCCTTGTGTATAGCTCTAAATTGCTTATTATTTTATACCTGTAGTCTCATCACAGGGGATGATCATTGTTGATGCAATGGGCAAGGACCACATTTTAGTGGAGCAGGGATTCTGATTTACTCTTATAGGTAGAATTGTTTGGGGGCTTCTGTGCCCAGTATTTTGTGCAAGAGATGTATGAAAATGGTAAATGAATAATGACACTCCTGAAAACATGTAAGGGAAAAAGGTGAGTTTAAGGAAAATGGTATCTTAATATGGGTTAATTGATGATAGACAAAACTTGCGTCTAATAGTTCACTGAAATTTTTATAAGGACATGAAACTAAAGGTTTTATTTTGCTTTGTGATATCAAAGTTGTTTTCTCTGTAATTGTGGATTTTGTGTGTGTGTTTGTTTGTTTGTTTGTTTGTTTTTTAGCTCAAAGCATTCAGTAAACCGGGGTTCCAAGGTGAATGTGTAGATTTTACAAAAGAAATTTCTGATTTGACTTCATTCACTCCATGCTCTTTCAAAGTTCTTCGGGGTTGGTGAGTGTGCTTATTGAGTGTTTTCTACTATTTAACAACTAAATGTCTTTGCAAATTTACAGAGATTTGACTGGTATTATTTTTTGCATGCATAGTGAAATAAAAAAGCTTTTTATTCATTGATTAACTGCTAATTCGCCTACATTATCTTTGCCCAGCTCACATCAGGAACCATTGTGTAATAGAAACAGAATCTCAATTAGCCAACTTTGGAGCATTTGGGTGATTTTCTCTTACTGTTACGTTATTTTGTAAATGTTTTGAATGTTTATATTGTATGTTTATTGTATAGTATAATAGGATGCTATAAAAATTAGCATTTTTGTTCAGATAAGACAGTCCTAAATTTTAAAAAATCTTGTTTGTTTAAAGTCTTTATCATCCCCATTTCACAGATGAAGATCCCTGGTTCAGAGTTAGGGTTTCCCCAAGATCAAGCACCAAGTGTGAGACCCACGATGGCTTTGCCCATTTTTATTGAATCCTATATTCCTCTAACTGCAGCAACATACTGGATCTTTCTTACATGTATATGAAACTGTGTATAATTCTCAAGGCTAATACATATGTACATATATGTATATGTATATATATAGTCTCTGTGTATTGATTTTTTTATTGTGGTAAAATATACATAACATAAAATTTACCATATTAACTATTTTAAGTGTATAGTTCAGTGGCATGTCTATGTATCAAATATCTACCTAGTAATTCATCGAAGTCTTTTTTTTTTTCGTTCTTCAAGATGCCTTGGATTCATCAATTCTCCTTTTTCTCCTGAACTAGTAGAGACTAGGATCTCTTATTTTCCATTTGAGGAACTTCAGTCTCTTAATTAACCCTGTTCTAGTATTGTATTACTTCCATGGGTTACCACAAACCAATCATTGCCCATTTATTTACCCCAAAATTCAGTTTAATATTTTTATTACTCTGCTTTAAATCCCATAGTCATTCTCTAATATCCATCAGATGCTCAAACTCTTCCAGGATTTGCCATCAACTTGTCTCATTTCCCCTATCCATTTTTCAGTCTATTCTTATAGTGAGCTCCCCCCATCCTCTCCTCTGCCAACATTTACTCAGCTGTGCATTTCCCACGCTACCCTCTATGCCAGCAGTCGGCACACTTTCTCTGTAACTGGCCAGGCAGTAAATGTTTTCAGCCTTGTGTGCCCTGCAGGCTCTGCCCCAGCCACTCCACGTGGCCACTGTAGCACAGCAGTGCCGCTGACAACGCGTAAATGGATGGGTGTGGCTGTGCTCCAGCACAGCTCTGTTTCTGGACATTAAGACTTGAATTCTATATAATATCCACATGTCATGAAATATACTTCTTTTAATTTCTTTAAACCATTTAAACATGCCCAAACCAGTTAATTAAAAGAATACAAGAACCATGGTGATTGCCTCAGGATCTGGAATGATTGACAGATCTGGATTTGAGCCCAATTCCATCACTTCCCAGCTGTGTGACCTTAAACATACGAATTATCACTCTGAACCTCAGTCTCCTTATCTGTAAAGGTGGAATAATAATAGTGCCTACCTCAAAGGATTCTTTTTTAAATACTTCTAAATTTTATTGTTGTTCAAGTAGTTTTCTGCCTTTCCCCTGCACCTGTACCCCCCACGCCAGCCATCCCCACCTCCCTCCCCTGATTCCACCCACTCTTGGTTTTGTCCATGTGTCCTTTATAGTAGTTCCTGAAAACCCTTCAAACCTTCCCCTCTCCCTCTGGTTACTGTCTGTATGTTCTTAATTTCAGTGTCTCTGGTTATATTTTGCTTGCTTGCTTGTTTTGTTGATTAGGTTCGAGTTAAAGGTGAGATCATATGGTATTTGTCTTCTTTCACCACCTAGCTTATGTCATTTAGCATAATGCTGTCCAGTTCTAACCATGCTGTTGCAAAGGGTAGGAGCTCCTTCTTTCTTTCTGCTGGATAGTAGTCCATTTTGTAAATGTACCACAGTTTTTGATCCATTCATTTACTGATGGGCACTTAGGTTTCTTCCAGCACTTGGCTGTTATAAATTGTGCTGCTATGAACATTGGGGTGCATAGGTTCTTTTGGATTGGTGTTTCAGGGTTCTTAGGATATAATCCTAGCAGTGGAATTGCTGGGTCAAAAGGCAGTTCCATTTTTAGTTTTCTGAGGAAATTCCATATTGTTTTCCATAGTGGCTGCACCAGTCTGCATTCCCACCAAGAACACACTAGGGTTTCCTTTTCTGCGCAACCTCTCCAACACTTATTGTTTGTTGCTTTGTTTATGATGACCATTCTCACCAGTGTGAAGTGGTATCTCATTGTGGTTTTAATTTGCATCTCTCTGATAGGTAGTGATGCTGAGCGTCTTTTCATATGTCTCTGGGCCCTCTGTATGTCCTCCTTGAAGTGCCTGTTCAAGTTCTTTGCCCATTTTTTAATTGGGTTGTTTCTCTTCCTAGAGTGGAGTCATGTGCATTCTTTATATATTTTGGAGATTAAACCTTTGTCTGAGGTATCATTGGCAAATATGTTTTCCCATACAGTTGGTCGTCTTTTCATTTTAATGCTGTTTTCTTTAGCCATGCAGAAGCTTTTTATTTTTATGAGATCCCATGTTTGTCCTTGCTCTAGGGGACATATCGGTGAAAATATTGCTGTGTAGAATATCTGAGATTTTCCTGCCTGTGTTCTCCTATAGGACTTTTATGGTTTCACGACTTAGATTTAAGTCTTTTATCCACCTTGAATTTATTTTTGTGTATAGTGTAAGTTGGTGATCAAGTTTCATTTTTTTGCATGTAGCTGTCTAGCTCTCCTAACATCATTTGTTGAAGAGGCCATTTTTACGCCATTTTATGCTTCTTCCCCCTTTGTCAAATATTAATTGACCATAGAGACTTGGGTTTATCTCTCAGCTCTCTGTTTTGTTCCATTGGTCCATGTGCCTGTTCTTATGCCAGTTTCAGGCTGTTTTGATTACAGTGGCCTTGTAATACTGTTGATATCAGTATTGTGATCCCTCATATTTTGTTTCTCTTTCTCAAAATTGCTGCAGCTATTCGGGATCATTTATGGTTCCATATACATTTTTTAAGTGTTTGTTTTATGTCTGTGAAATATGCCATTGGTAATTTAATAAGCATTGCATTGAATCTATACATTGCTTTGGATAGTATGGGTATTTTGATGGTGTTAATACTTCTAATTCATGAACACAGTATATGCTTCCATTCGTTTGTGTCTTCCTTAATTTCTTTCTTCGGTGTTGTATAGTTTTCTGAGTACAGGTATTTTACCTCCTTGGTTAGGTTTATTCCTAGGTATTTTATTTTTCTAGTTGCTATATCAAATGGAACTTTTTTCCTGATTTCTGTTTCTGATATTTCATTGTTGGTGTACAAAAATGCCTTTGATGTCTGGATATTGACTTTGTATCCCACTGTTTTACCAAATTCATTTATTAGGTCGAGTAGTTTTTTGGTGGAGTCTGTAGGATTTTCTATGTACACTATCATGTCATCTGCAAAAAAATGACATTTTGTTTCCTCTTTTCTGATTTGGATGTCTTTTATTTCCTTTTGTTGTCTGATCGCTATGGCTAGGACTTCCAATACTATGTCGAATGGAAGTGGTGAAAGTGGACAGTTGTCTTGTTCCTGATCTTAGTGAGAAGGTTTTTCGTTTTTGCCCATTGAGTATGATGTTGGCTGTAGGTCTCTCATATATGGCCTTTATTATGTTGGGGAATGCTCCCTCTATTCCCACTTTGCTGAGGATTTTAATCATAAATGGGTACTGTACCTTATCAAATGCTTTTTCTGCATCTGTTGATGTGATCATGTGATTTTTGTCTTTTCTTTTGTTTATGTGATGTATTACATTTATTGATTTGCGAATATTGTACCATCCTTGCATCCCTGCGATGAAGTCCACCTGATCATGGTGTATCTTTTTAATGTATTGCTGGATGGAGTTTGCCAGTATTTCGTTGAGGATTTTGTTGTCTATGTTCATCAGCGATATTGGCCTGAAGTTTTCTTCCTTTGTTGTGTCTTTATCTGATTTTGGGATTAGGATGATGCTGGCTTCATAAAAAGAGTTTAGGAGTCTTCCATCTTCTTGGATTTTTGTGTAATAGTCTGTGAAGGACAAGGGTTAGCTCTTCCTGAAATACTTTGCAGAAGCATTCTCCTGTGAAACTGTCCAGTCCAGGAGTTTTGTGTGTTGGGAGTTTTTTGATTACTACTTCAATTTTGTCAGCTGTTATTGTTCTGTTCAGGCTTTCGGCTTCTTCTTCATTGAGTTTTGGAAGATTATATTTTTCTAGAAATTTGTCCATTTCACCTAGGTTTTCAAATCTCTTGGCATACAGTTCTTTATAGTAATTTCTTACAATCCTTTGTATTTTGGTGGTATCAATTATAATCTCTCCTCTTTCATTTCTGATTGTGGTTTTTTGGGTCCTCCCCCTTTTTTTCTTGATGAGTCTGCTTAAAGGCTTGTCAACTTTGTTTATCTTTTCCAAGAACTATCGCCTGGATTTATTGATCCTTAGAATTGTGCTTTTAATCTCTATGTTGTTTAATTCTGTTCTGATCTTGCTTATTTCCTTCCTTCTACTTGCTCTGGGCTGTCTTTGTTCTTACAAGGTATAAATAAATAATGCACATGGAGGGCTAAACTCCATGCCTGACACACTGAAACCCTTTGATAAATGTTGGCTATAAATGCTTGTTACACAGAAGATATGACAGTGAGTTACAGTGTCACAGAGCATTTCTGTGGTTTTCCGAAAGTAACCTGGTCTTGCCAGAGTACAGTGTGGGTCATCTTAAAATACAGGGCTAGATCTTAAACACACCAAAACTGAAGTAGTAACAGCCAATTAATTTATCCCTTGGGCTCCTCCTTTTCAAAAGGTTGTGTCTTAACCAAGCTTTGATGATTGCTTTGATGATTGAAAATAATTCAGTATCAAAGATTCCAAAGGGTTTATTTCTTTTCTATAATCTTAGTTAGCTCTCAAATGTGCGGGGACAGATTTTATAAACTATTGTGCAATTTTAGAAGACCAGCTTCTAATGCACCCAGATTGAAGGCAAGCTGATTATTAAATAAGGACACAAATTTTTATTTTTCCCCCAAAAGACTTCAAATGTGTTCCAGACCTTAATAATCACTATAATTTGATCCCAGAGTTTTGTCCTTGAAGGCACTAAATGCAGTTAATGTCTTTAGCTTAAAACAGATGTCTTCTTTCAAATTTCAGTTCTATCACGTAATAGCTGGGGTGACCTTGGGCAAATCACCTAACCTCTCCAAGCTTTCATTGTGTTGCCTATAAAAATATGGTTTTATCTCATGGAATTTTTGAGGACACAGTGAAATAATATATGTAAAGTACTCAGCCTCTGTCTGGCACGTGGTGAGCACACAATAAATAATAGTGATACCTGTGTTTTTTAGAGCAACAGTATTTGCTGCTCATCAGCACCATGACTTTTATGCCATGCTCCTACCCCAGTTCCCACAGCATCACGAGGAGCCGACACTGCCAGCTGAGGCAGGCTGACTGTCTCCCGGCTTATCTTTTTAGCTGGCTCCTGTATTACCAAGAGGACATTTCTAATAACCAGTGTGTGTTAGAAGAAGGCCTGTATGCTGACCTTACTTCTTGTGGCTGCCCGACATCTACAATCAAATCCCTCAAGCCCATTGACTATGTAAGTACTTGGCTGAATGCATAATTATAAGACTTTCTTGTCCAGTTTAATTACCATAAATGAGAATGTGATGTTGAAAGCAATGATACATGGGCAAATATAAAATTTTGAATAGCTTAATTGTGGATTATAAACTTGAGATTCACTCATGAAATTGAACTAAAATGTAACCTATAACATTGATATTTTCCTCTTTTTTTTTAAGTAGGAATGCTAAACTCAGGAACTAGAGTAATACAGGCCTGGGTTTAAATCCCAGGTTGATGCTTCAACCACTTTGAGTGACATTGACAAATTTATTTAGCATCCTCATCTATAAAAGATAATAAATTTATTAGGCCACTGGGATATTAAATCAGGAGATCCTTGTAAAATACCCATGAATGGTGAGCATTTGATAAGTATTAGCTATTAGTATCATGGTTATAATTGTTAGAGCTACTTAATAAAAATAATTGATCATTTTATTATTAGACAAACCACATAATTTTTCTGCTGCTCAGATTTACAGGGTTACTTTAGGACATGGCCCATTACTGGAATTAATTTCAAACTTTGTTTGGGGGGGAACTTGGGCTTTCCTGCCTAATGTGTGCAGAATTACATAGGCCACCTTGGAGGCCCACTTTATAAAGTGGTTTCTCCTTGATCACATTTACTCAAAACTTTATACATGAGGAAAACAGGGTCACTACTCTACTCTGGGACAGCAGCTCTGGGCTCCTAGTTAGTAGGAGGGTTAGTAGGGTTTGTGCAAAGGAAATAGTGAGAGTCGAGGATATTTTCAAAATGCCTAGTTATGGGGATTCCCTAGGAGCATTTGATCAAAGCAGAGACTTACAACGAGATGACTGAAAGCCAGAGTGGAGGAATCTCTCTCAGTTCTCTCAGTTCTCTCAGTTCTTTCGGCCGGAGCTAACTTCAGGGGTGATATCCATACTCAGGATCTTTGATCCCAAACCAAGCAAAGTGGTCTTATTTCACAAGGCATTTCTGGTAGAGTATTCCTGGTACAGGCTAAGGATAGAGTCTTGGCTGCAAAACAAGAATAGAAATAGAATCCTTGGTCTCTCTCAGTGGCCCCTTAGACACCAACTTGGAAAGACTTAAGTGACTACTCATACTTTCTGTCTGTGGGGGTAAAGCTGGTAGGAAAAGCATAAGGTCTGATGACTCTTTCCAATGATTGATAAGACTTAAAAAAGCATTGCAAAGTAGTCCACAATTACTTGGAAAGGAATTTTCTTATGAATGTTTAGTGGTCAAACCAGCGCATAGATGCTTATTTGGTGTTACCATGTTTTTCGGACCATAAGACACACATAGGTTTTAGAAGAGGAAGATAGGAAAAAAAGTTTTTTGAAGCAAAAAATGTGGTAAAATACTTAATAACATAAATAACATAATATTTCATCAATGTAAATGTAAACAGAACTCAACAGCAGCATTAGCAACCATTATTCCCCCCAAATTTGGGGGGGAAAAGTACGTGTTGTAGTCTGAAAAATACAGGTAATTCTAAAAGCAAAATAAGAGCCTAACATGAAGATACTATCTTGAAAGGATTTTATAGGACTATAAATTCAGTGAGCTAAAACAACCAAGTTTCTAAGGAGGGCATTTTAGAAACAGTCAATATCAGTAAGTGTTACTATCTTTCTTTGAAGAGTTACAATTCTTTCACATCCTTGAAGTCAGAAATGGATGATTTACATTAGTAGTGAAAACAGAGAAGTGTCTGTGTAGTAAGATGTGCAGCTGCACGGCCCCGTTTTGGCCCAGGTGAAGGTGCCCTCTGGGGAGGATGTGAGAGCTATAGGCTTTTCACTCCAAGAACAGATTTAAAGGGTGTATCCAGTTTATGTAAGGACAGTACATTTCATTTTCTTAAGGCCTTTGCATGGTGAGGTTTTAAATCTTTGAAAAGTCTTGTCAAAGACCTGTTTAGGCAGTAGGTCTGGTGCTGAAATGGAAGGAATAGTGAGTCTGGGGGTCCCGGCAGAAACCCACAGGTCGCCGATGAAGAGGCCCCAGCAGGAAGCCTTTCCTGGATGAAGCCAGCCGTGCTCACCTGAGTGGCCCTGAAGCCCCGAGTCTCTCAGACCTAGGAGACTAGTATGTAAACCAGAAGGTCAACTTGGTAATTGTACTGGGTGGATTCTAGTGACTAGAATGCTTGAGAATTCTGTCCTGGGCATTTTTCTGTCTCGCTGGAAGAACATGGGGAACTGAATTAGTCATTGGAGTGTTATTCGTTGAGCATAGATTTGGATAAAATGAGGTAGATGTCTTGAGATTAGCTTACCTGGGTTAACCTTCTCCGCAAAAAAAGACTTCCCCCACTCTCCAGGGTCCAGTGGCTCACTTTCTCCAGATTCTGTGCCTTCTTTCCCTGGAATATGCTCAACACACTCTGCCTAACCCACTTCTCTGAGTCCCTCCACATCCGCTCTCCTCCTGTGTCCTCACTCAGGGACTGATACGCCTTTTTCTAGGCATTTGTTAATACCACTCCCTGTGCCACAGTCCATTGTGATTCTGGATTCATTCTACGAAATAATTCTGTCCAATTAAGTTGACTTTGAAGCTGAAACTGGAGAGCCCTGAGGGTGTTACCTATGTACAGTTGGCAATCCCAGACACTCTGTGACTAATTGCTAAAGTATCATAATGGTGTAATAGTGACGAGTCTTAAGATTTTACCTCCGTACAGGATCAGAATGTGTCACAGTGACACTTTGTTTCAGGCGGATTTGTATTTGTGCAGACATAAGTTACATTCCAGAAGTCCATGGGTGCGTAAATTGTAGTCATTTTGCAGTGGAAAACGCTGAGAACAGAGCTTATAATTTTCTTCTCATTGATGTGACCTTGGGCAAATCAAGTGTTTGGACTCAGTGAACTCATACGTAAATGAACTGTTAGAACAAGTATTTTCCAATTTTTGACAGCCTCCTGCTGTGTTGCAAATAAGTATTTTGAGAATATTTCTAATTGGAAATGAAAAAGAATGTACCCAGCCTTAGGCTTACGTGATTTGTGGGAATAAGATGGTGTGTGAGCTTTCAGTAAGGTTATGCTGTAATAACAGCCCCCCAAAACAGTGGGTTAGGAGCCGGAGGCAGGTGGAAGACCTAAATGAAATATTTTAGCATTGGACTCATAGCGTTTGGGCTAACCTGCTTTACAGTGTTTCCATGGGAGCAGCAGTCCACGCATTGCTTCCACAGTGTCTCCATGGTGTCTTGGCATGGAAATCGGCCTCCTTTGAAGTAATGATCCAATCCTGGCAGCTGTAAGTAGGCAGAGCAAAAGAAACATCATAGCAAGAGGCTATAGAAAAACTTCAAATGAAATTATGACAGTGATGACATAAATGATCTTAAGAAGTAGAATAAGGATTGGCCATTCACTCTGTGCAAGAGTACTGAGCAAGGTGCACATCTACAAATAGAAGAAGACTATAAATCCAGCCACAGAATGAAAAGAAGTGATGGGTTTATAAAGTATAGAGGAGTTTGGTTACCATGAAATCTTTGGCTGAATCCACATATACTTAATAGTACTAACTATTCCGTACATTTTGAAAGTAAAGGCCAACAGAAATCTATAGTGCACACCTACTTCCTGATGAGACATTTGAAGCATTACCTTTTAAATTCGTACGGAGGACAAAATGCTGTACTATCACCACTTCTGTTCAACATTATTCTGGAGTCCTCGCCACTGTAGTAAGATTAACACTACAAAAAAAGTAGAAAGGAAGAAACAAAATTGTCAAGAGTATCTACTACAGATAATTTATTAGGGTTAACATGAATTTTTTTTTAAGATTTTATTTATTTTTAGAGGGGAAGGGAAGGAGAAAGAAAGGGAGAGAAACATCAATGTGTGGTTGCCACTCACGTGCCCCCACTAGGGGCCTGGCCTGCAACCCAGACGTACCCTGACTGGAATCGAACCGGTGACTCTTTGGTTTGCAGGTGCGCTCAATCCACTGAGCTACACCAGCCAGGGGTAAAATGAATTTTTTTGAAGTTGTAGAATACAACATAAATAGCAATTAAACCACAGGGTACTTAGGAATAAATTTAATATAAGGCAAGTAAGTTCTGTATGGGAGAAATTATAAAAGCTTTGTTGAAGGATATAAAGGATGGAGAGGTAAATTTTTCTAGATGAGGAGACTCAGTATTGTAAAGGTGTGATCTTCCCCCAAATTAATACAGTTTTAGTCAAAATGCTTACAGAAACTTTCATCTTTTTAGAGGGTAGTAAAATATGACAAGCTTATCCTAAAATTAATTTGAAAAAATAAGGGTCCAAAATAGCCAGGATACTAAGAACAACAGGCAAGACCTCTTATGTATTTCATCATACGGCACAGTAACTAAGACACCAGGTGCTGGTGCCTGGAGAGACGAACAGAGCAGTGGGATGGGGCAGCATGGAAGAAACCGACCTACATAAATAACGGAGTGTGGGAAGCAACAGAAGTAGCATTGCAGTGCAGCTGTTAGGAACTATTAAATAAATGGTGTTAAGACAATTGGCCCTTTACGTGGAAAAAGACACTTGCTGTACTCCCAACACAAAAATGAGTTCCAGAAGGATTAATGGCAACCTAAATGTGAAAAACAAACTAAAACTTCGAGGAAAACATAGGACCATACCTCAGTGACATTGTGGTAGGATGTATTTAATCACAAAGCACACATCAGTAAAGGCAAGTGTATTAGTTTCCTATTGCTGCTGTAACAAATTAGCAGACTTAGCAGTTTAACAACAGCAACTGTCTTGCAGTTCTGGAGGTCAGAAGTCCATAAAGGCTCTTCCTGGGGTAAAATTAAGGTATTGGCAGGACTTGTGGAAGGTGCTAGAGGACACTGTGCTTCCTGGCCATCTCTGGTTTCTAGAGGGCCCCAGCACGCCTTGGCTCACAGCCCTCTTCCAGCTTCAAAGTGCATCACTCTGACTTCTGGTCTGCTGTCTCTGAGTTT